TTCCTGCAGCTTATGGATTTGCATAGCTTCCAGCCTTATCACGTTACATCTTTTCCAATCGTCGACTATCTCGGACCTCGTGGTAAGCTGCAGCCCTGCCCCTCGTATCCGAGCAAAGAACAGCATCTCAAACAACCAACCCCGAAGTGTCGGATTCCCAGTTGCGTCAACGAGTTCTTCAATCTTCCTCACAAACGTTTCTCCAAGCCTCTGTGCTAGCTCCATGGAAACAAACCTGCTGACAAGCGTCCAGTGCACCTCGTCTCCGACACGATACTTCCCATGCAGGCGATTCACAGCATTGTTTGCACGCTCTCCCATCCCCATGTCAAACAGGGACGCAAAATCAGGAACAGCCTCTATCCCGTCACGGAGTTCTTGGATCGCTTCATCTGTCCTACGTTCAAACATATATCGGCATGAGCCTCCTACAATCTGATACTTTGACTCGATTTCTCTCGACCTTCTCTCTTGTTCTGTCTCATCCATGCTTCCCTCGCCTTCATCCATGCTTCCCTCTTCTTCATCCAAGCTCCATTTCATCACATCAGCCACACTCTTATAGAACGCGTCGTACCTACAGGCTTCCAGATACTCTTCCATTGTCCACGAATACACCATCATTTCTTCGACCTTCTCATTCGCATCTTGCTCGGAACTCTTCTTTGCTCGAGAGCTCATCGACGTTGTGATAACAAGCCGCCGATTCTCCAGTTCACGATGAACCCAATACAGGCAAGCACTCAGCACAAATCCATGTGCTTGCTCCCCCTGTCGGTAACCATCTATAGACACCAAAGTCTTCTTCCCGCTCGGTGCCCGTTCTCTGAGAAATTTCGGTATCCAAGCCCCCGCATTGTCGGCAGGCATCTCACATTTTCTCAATACGCCATCATCAACCTGTAAGAATTCGACAATTCCCCACTTCCACAGCCGAAAGCATATCACCCTCCATCCCTCCTCCATGCCTCGCGATTGCATGAAGGACATCGTCGTCGTCGTCTTCCCCGTCCCCGGAGGCCCTAGAATCCAACCCAGACACCCCGCCTTGCACACCCGGTCGTCAAGGAAACGCCACTGCTCATTGAAGGAATCTCGGCAGTACAGCACACGCACCCCTGCTTGTGACGAGCTGATTGGATCAAACAGCGATCGATCGAGAAAGAAGAGTTTGTTCGCCTCCCTGTGCCCCACCAGATCACGACTCAAGGTTTTTTCTGTCCAAATTGCGCTTTCTGCCTCTTCCTCCCGGACCTCGGCCCTGTGTTTGTCAAGCACGAGCTCCTTCCTCTCAAGCTGACTGGTCAGCCGTTGCTTTTCTGCCGGGTCTTGGCACATCTCGATCTTGTGCTCGAGCTCCTTCTTCTCGAGCGTGAGCTTGTGCTCGAGCTCCTTCCTCTCGAGCTTGACCGTGTGCTCGAGCTCCTTCCTCTCAAGCTGACTGGTCAGCCGTTGCTTTTCTGCCGGGTCTTGGCACATCTCGATCTTGTGCTCGAGCTCCTTCCTCTCGAGCGTGAGCTTGTGCTCGAGCTCCTTCCTCTCGACCTTGACCGTGTGCTCGAGCTCCTTCCTCCTTCCTCTCGAGCGTGAGCTTGTGCTCGAGCTCCTTCCTCTCGAGCTTGACCGTGTGCTCGAGCTCCTTCCTCTCAAGCTGACTGGTCAGCCGTTGCTTGTCTACCGGGTCTTGGCACATCTCGATCTTGTGCTCGAGCTCCTTCTTCTCGAGCGTGAGCTTGTGCTCGAGCTCCTTCCTCTCAAGCTGACTGGTCAGCCGTTGCTTTTCTGCCGGGTCTTGGCACATCTCGATCTTGTGCTCGAGCTCCTTCCTCTCGAGCTTGACCGTGTGCTCGAGCTCCTTCCTCTCAAGCTGACTGGTCAGCCGTTGCTTGTCTACCGGGTCTTGGCACATCTCGATCTTGTGCTCGAGCTCCTTCCTCTCGAGCGTGAGCTTGTGCTCGAGCTCCTTCCTCTCAAGCTGACTGGTCAGCCGTTGCTTTTCTGCCGGGTCTTGGCACATCTCGATCCGGCGCTGGATTTGTGAGATAGATTCCACCAGTATGCTCATTTCGTCTGTCTTGCTCTCCTCTTTCTCTTCATCTCGCCTGTATTGCTGTCTTGTTCCTTTTGGTCTTGCTTTCTCCTTTGACTTTTCATCCTGTCTGTCTTGCTGCATTGCTCTGTCTTTTCTTGCTCTCTTACTTTTGATCTTGTCGCGCTGCTTTTTCAATGTTGCGGTCTGGAAGACACAGTGAGAGGAACGCAGGAGAGTCAGGTTGTGAACAAAAGCATCAGGATTTGGGCATAAGCATGAGGAAGATGGGAAAGGAAATGAGAGTGGAGAAAGCAACGGTGACAGAAGAAACAGTGGAGTTGCAACGGTAAAGCGCGCAAGGCAGTAAACCAAGAAATTGACAAGTGAATTACAGAAAACTACACTCACAGAGTTCAATTCAACTTTCTTCTCTGCCTCGTCCTCTCCGCCTTTCAAGCGTAGAGATAGAGGAGATCCAGTGCCTTGGCGCGACTTACGGCTCTTGAGCTTAGCATACTTTCCTGTCTCAACGGATCGAAGCGCAGATTCGAAGGATAGGAAGAGCTGGAGGATGAGCAAAATTTCCAGAAAAAAATTCAATCCCCTCATAATGGACAGTAGAAGTGCTGAAGTTCAAATCAATGTCTCTTGATGCCACGAGTATAGCTGAGAGAAATGCGAACGCGAATCAGATTATTTGGATATCTTTCAAGCCTGCAAGCAGATAAATTGTCATGGGCAACAGGAGATGGTTCTGTTTAAGTTCATAATTGTGGAGTGGACCAGTTCGAACTTCACATCTCCCATCACCCTCTACCACAGCTCTACCTCACAAAAGTCAAAAGTTATTTTTTTTCTGCACACCTACTCGTACCACTTGGAATCAATCTTCATCTTTATCAAGTTCAATGTTGGTGCTACTTGAAGACTTCACGTTATCATATCCCCTTCTCTTTATCGGTACAAAGTTATTGTCCTTCCTTATCCCACTTCGCAGTTCAACTCAGTCCTCTCGTTTCCTAAGGAAATTGTCCTTTATTTCTGAGGCGTGTTCACTCGCTTCCACCTGATCTCCACTTCACTCATCGGTGCGATGCACATTTTCCTTTGCTTTCCACTTCCCTTCACTTTCCTTCGCTTTCCATTTCTCATCCTCACCTCACCTCTTGACACTCTGTTTCTGCTTTGACATGGCTTGTTGTGATTGATCTCTTCATCTTGGTTACTCTCTAGGCCGGCGGGAGACTCTGGCAGCGGCTCAGATAACCCCACCTCTGCAGCTCAGAGGAAGGGGTACTCTGCCCCCTTCCTCCCATATATCGCTCGACCTCTCCTCTCTCCTCTCTCCCTCTCCCTCCCTCCCTCTCGACTGCTCACTCTCTCAGAGGTTTATTAAGGGCCGTTTCACGCCGAGCCCAATGGTCGAGTTTGTCAGCAAGCGTGGTACTAATTTTACTCAAACAATTTGAAATCATCTGGACCAATGACATAAAAGTACAATTTAATTCCAAAGGTCGAGATGGTGAACCGTTGCGGTCGAGTTTGTCAGCAAAATGAGTACCCTTAATTTAATGTCATAAAAGAAGGGGTGGGTGGAGACTAGAGTTGGTCAAACTTATCGTTTGAATTCAAATCGAAAGGGAGCCTAGGTTGTATGATAGCATCTAAATACTAGGATACTTATTATGAAATATCGAACCCTTAGCATGGGCTACACACGATAATTTCAGCTTTAAAAACATGTAATTTTCAAATGAATTTAAAACTTCTGAAAAAACTCGAGCTTTGGGCTCGGCGTGAAACGGCCCTAAGTTATGCCCTTCCAAGGGGGCTGTATGAGGGCTCGAAAAGGGACCACAAATCAGATACTGAAAATCTGCAAGAGAATTTTAATATTATGCTTTACAATTCAATAATGTTTGCTCCGGTTCGGTTTTCTTTCCTCAGTCATAGTAAACAGCTGCATAACCGTTGAAGTTTCGAGCATGTCCAGCCAGTCAGGAAGTCACGAGGTAGGGAGAGGAGAAATGTCTTTTTGCAACGTTTGGATTTTAATTCTTGACTTGGCTAGTAGTTTGAATTAGCCATTGCCCTTTTGCTTCGACTGCCATTTTCTGTGGGATCAATTCTATTTCAAGCGCATGACCTCCAATTCCCCCTTCTCATTGTCGTCAACAAGGACGCCAACTTGCGATTGCGCCGGTTGTGAGGTGAAGAAGCCCTAAAAGTAAAAGTTATTCTCTGTCAGACCTATTTGAGTAAAATACATATTGTACTTTTTTCAAATTTCGTGGGGGCTGGAGGGGCTCTGTTTCAAAAAAAGGTAAAAATCGATACCCCTCTCGGGAACTCAAACGTCACTTTGTCGAATCGCCCTGACATGGGCATGGCTAGAACGACAATGCGGAGGATCACGAATGCCTTCGTCGTTGTCAGCAAAAAGAGAAAACCATCTCATTGATTGTTGATGATTGCTCGTCTTTAGTTCATGAGATTCTTGAAGAGATCCACGTCAACACCGTCATTCAATCTTTCATTGCAAAACACGATAAGCTTGCATACACGCTTCTGGTGTAACATTGATCTTTTTTACCAAAGTCGACGTAAGTGACCTCTCGACAATAGGACGCGACTAGGGACACTAGCTGCCTGTCCACCCAAGACTATGGAACCATGTTTTCCTCCATGGCCTTGCAGTGTACGCCTCGTTCGTGAGCACGACCGAAAAGTATTTACCAAAATGCCCTCAGCACAAGAGTCCATGCAGTTACCACCAATTCTTTCGAGGCAATGAACCTCTTATATATAAAAATGCAAAAGCTGTTTGAAAAAAGAGATTTATCATCGTGCACTCCAGGAATATCTCACCCGCAAATCGTAACGTCAAGCTTGCACATGTATAAGTGCCTCCTCCATCAGCTCCCTCTGCCCCTCCCCCCGGCATGCTCCCCACTCCCTCCCCCTTCCTTCAATTTCCTGCAGATTCATCCTTCTCTTCCATGACCCATTCTCTACCTTCACAAACCCCTTCTCCTCCTCATTCACACAAGCAGCCCCCTCCTCACTCCACTGCTCGAGGTACGGTGCGCCATCCAGAATTGGGACTGTGCCGTCTTCCTCCACTGTTTCCGCCTCCTGCTCCGTCCCTTCCGTAGCACTTATACCCTCCTCCTGACCCCCGAACCACTCCCGCACGTCCCACGCCTCCCTCCTCCTCGCCGCCAGTAGCTGGCTCCGCTCCTTGGGCCAGCTCTCCAGCCCCAGCTGCCTGCACGCGTTCTTGAGCGCCGTCAGAGACACCCCCTGCTCCCATCCAACGTCAGATCAAGCCCCGCCCTCCTCCTCCCGTCACAAACAGCACGCGCTCCCTTAGCAGACAGGTCAGGCAGGGGTCATACCAGGAGCTTGGCGGCGTCGACCTGCTTGTAGACGAGGAGGCGCTGGAGGTCGCTGGCGGTGAGGAAGATCTTGGAGGCCTGGGGCTTGGCGGAGTCGCCAGCTTTCTTGCGGACGTGGATGGTGACGAAGGTGGGGCCGAACATGCTCATAATCAAGGGCTTTTCTTGATCTTCTCTATGTGAGTAGAAGTGTGTGGACAAGTGTCAAGCTGTATCACAGCACTTGGAAGGAGCAGTATGTGAGATGCAAAGATGCTGTGAGGGGCTGATGAGGAGATGATAGTCACCGATAGGTAACTCAACGTCAGTCGGAACAATGTGGCTGAGGAACACGGGCAGGGGATAAGGAGGTTTTGAAGGAAGGGTGTGCGTGTGTCTGGCGAAGATCTATAGGCAGAGAGCTCCTCCCCGTGCAGCAGAGTGAAGGGTTGATAGTAAAGGGGTCGAGATGGAGGTGGAGTTAGCAGAAGAGAAAGTCCAGGAAGAGGAAAAGGAGGAGGTTTTGGAGGTCGAGGTCGAGGAGGAGGAGGAGGAGGAAGTGGTGTTGGAGGAGGAGGGGTGGGGGGGGGGGGGAAGAAGCGGCGTTTGAGGTGGTGATGCCAGAGGAGGTGGATGAGGAGGACGTGGGGCAAGAGGAGGAGGTGGTGGTGAAAGAATACTTGACCAATCATTTAGTAGCTGATTATGCGGCGTGTGGGGTGGTGTCCTAAGGGAGAAGGTGCATGGAACGGACCCTCCCGGCAACCCGACGCACATGCGGCGGAGAGGAGGAGAACGGGAAGGACAAGCGAAGCGAGTACGCAGGAGGTTAGCACGAGAGTGTGACCAATGCAACATGAAGATGTCGTATCTCAAGAATCCTACGATGATGCGATGATATGGATCGATCAAACAGAGTCTCAGTGGAATGCCTTGACCCTGTTGTAGACCCATGTCCGCCAAACGAAAGAGGTTTTCTGTAAGGAAAAAAGTAGACAAGCAGCATTCAGATTGATGAATGAGCACACGAAGCTGGATCGACTGTGTTCATCTTGATGATCATGCAAGCACTTTGCATTCCACCCTACAGTCGGCAACAACGACTTGTGTCATGCAAAATGAGCATCATTCATGCAAGTGTCTTGCTAGATGACTTCTTCGATCAACCACCAGGTCAACCGATCCATGACCACTGAGACGCGTCTGCTGGACAAGCCACGAAGCTTCGGTCCGTGCGATCAAGTTTGACAGCCTCTGGTTCCCCCAAGACAGCACTGGCTATGGAATAACGCTTGCATGCATTGAGAACCTCGCGGTGCACATTTTGCTCACTGCAAGAAAGAAAACCAGGGCAACCCAGCCTGCTGACAACGTCATCGCAAAAACTCCTTCTTATCTCAAATCAACTCGCTGACGAAAAGCTCTCTCTCGTAGTGAGTGTTTGAATGACCACCTCAATCTCCGAGATACAAACATTGACTTATATGCGATCTTTGAACCTCAACAAGAGAATATTTGAATGATGAACCGAAAATTCAAACAAGATTCATGAAATATTTGACTCATCGTAACAAAGAAATATTGTGATGCAAGTTTATATATATCGATCAACAGAAATGTAAGAAGAATCAATCCTTCATGATGCGATGAAAGCATCTAAAAGCTTTCCGCACATAATCCTAACTTCAATCTAGAACTTAACATATACCAAAACCTGGTCAAGAGGCCTCATCGGTCCCGATTCGGTTTTGAGACATGTACAAGTCCCTCCTCCATCAGCTCCCTCTGCCCCTCCCCCCGGCATCCCCCCCACTCCCTCCTCCTGACTTTACCTGCTCTCACCACCTCAGCCCCGTTCTTCCATGACCCCTTCTCTACCTTCACAAACCCCTTCTCCTCCTCATTCACACAAGCAGCCCCCTCCTCACACCACTTCTCGAGATACGGTGCGCTATCCAGCATTGGGCCTGTGCCGTCTTCCTCCACTGCTTCCTCCTCCTGCTCCGTCCCTTCCGTAGCACTGATACCCTCCTCCTGCCCCCCGAACCACTCCCGCACGTCCCACGCCTCCCTCCTCCTCGCCGCCAGTAGCTGGCTCCGCTCCTTGGGCCAGCTCTCCAGCCCCAGCTGCCTGCACGCGTTCTTGAGCGCCGTCAGAGACACCCCCTGCTCCCATCCAACGTCAGATCAAGCCCCGCCCTCCTCCTCCCGTCACAAACAGCACGCGCTCCCCTAGCAGACAGGTCAGGCAGGGGTCATACCAGGAGCTTTGCGGCGTCGACCTGCTTGTAGACGAGGAGGCGCTGGAGGTCGCTGGCGGTGAGGAAGATCTTTGAGGCCTGGGGCTTGGCGGAGTCGCCAGCTTTCTTGCGGACGTGGATGGTGACGAAGGTGGGGCCGAACATATTCATGTTGGGTGTTGTTTACTTGATTTTTAAACTGATCTTTCTTGTTTTCTCTGTCTGTTTGATGTGTTGGTGATGTAGTTTGTGAGGTTTCTAACGCAAATTGAAGTGCAAGCTGTTGTTGTGGTGACACGGCTTAACCACTCAAAAGTTCTACTGAAGGAAAGAAGCGAGTTAGGAGGAGCTGATAAGAACAGAATCGATGTTGACAGAGGACTGTGAAGGCCGGGAGCAAGAGGACACGCAAGCCCCTATCGCGTGGGCAGAGGACAGCCTAGTAAGCGGTTGAGAGAGGGAGGGGGGGTTTACATCAGTCCATCTCACGCGCACTTAAAACGGTTTTATAAAGATAAAATCTCAAGACTAAAACTCCATCTGCGCGCATCTGTACTTGGCGTGATACCCTGCAGCCATCCCTGTGTGGGAGGGGGTGATCGAAGTCAATCTATTTGTTTATCTAGAGATAGGTCTTGTCGGGTACCCATGAAGTCTGTCGCCAACTTGCGCTGCGTCAATCTAGCCAGCCAGTCAAAACCTACAAATAGACATGTACATGGACGGGTGTACATGGACGGGTTCTTTCCGGAAATAGAGGGGGTACGCTAATGCGTGTGGGGGAAGAAGCGCTTGCTCTCGGAACCTAAGGAGTGTTTCACGCGTGGCCCAGAGGTCCAGATTCCCAGAGCTCGTCGTACTAATTTTACTCAATAAATTTGAAATCATCTGGACCAATGGTATATAAGAGAATTTTATTTCCAAAGGTCGAGATGGTGAACCGTTGTGGTCGAGTTTGTCAGCAGGGTGATTGCACCCCCACAGGGGCCCACCGATAGAATCAGGAGGTGGGGTATTGACCGGACCATAAATGTGCCTAGCCCAAGCTCCATTCTATGCCGCGATACATATGATGGTATTTAGAAAATTTCTAACCCTTCCTATACCACCCAATTAGTACGCCGACTGGCTCGGGGAAAAGACCGTGACACGATCGTGACAATTTCACATTTAAAAACATGTATATTTGAAATATATTTCAAACAGGTTCTGGGAATCTGGACCTCTGGGCCACGCGTGAAACGCTCCTAAACCTCTTTACCTTGACCAACCGGTCAGAAGCTCTTTCCTTTCATCGACATTGTAGTTTTCGGCAGAATTATCAGGATGATGTTTGCCTGATTCTTTCAGTGTTTCTTTACTGCCCGATCTGGGATGCAGCTTACTGATACGACAAAAAGAAAATGTTACAACAAAGAAACAATATCTATTATCGCTGTCTTCACCATGTGCTTGTGCCCGGGTGTGTATCTGATTGGTAGATGGATTGCACAAGCGCTGATATAGTCAAAGTAGCAATAGATCGATTCTCACGGCCACTTGGAGATGCTGTCAAACAACGACGATAGTCATTGGATGACTGCAATTGCGACGGGGACTCTATCAGACCCAGAAAATCATAGACAAATGTTGAAGGAAAGTTGGATTATACTCGCATATACCAACGACTGGGTAAAAACAAACTTCAAACCAAACGAAAAAGCCATCTCCATTTTTAGTGGCAGCATCACTGACAAAACCTCACAACCCTTAGAGATATGATGAGGAAAGATGGGGAAAGCGTGCACTCAATGCCTCAGCAATGACACACAATGACAATGTGGGAAGATGGGGAGGGATGGAAGGAGATGGGAGGAGAGGGAGCAGGGGTGCAACGATCACAGACTGGGGCAGGCTGGGGCAGGCTGGGGCAGACTGGTGGGGAGGGCGGGGGAGGGGGGGGGGGTACTGAGAGACGCATGTACCAATGGTACATGACACACGTAGTTCTTTTTTGGGGGGTGGGGGCGAATCGGTGCGAAGTGAGCTTAGAGCGCGAAGATTTAGCATTACCAAGCCAAGTCACGTTACTAAGCTGGAAGTCACGCTACCAGCCGTGACGGACTTTTAAACCAGAACGAGCGCAAGACAGGATTTCTGTTCAAAGAACAAAGATATCAAATGCTAAATGTGGCTGATATCAGTATGGAAACCATAATTGACTAAACATTAGTTGCTGGGAACACGAGATACTGCAGGGAGGCCCTTGCCAAAAAGACGGGAAGATTGCCCGCTCAGGAAATAAAACCTCAAAAACCACATGTATACACTTTTTTCGGGTTGTTTTTAATGAACCTGATGAGACTGCTCTAGTATTGCTTGAGGAAAGGAGCGAGAGTATTTGAAGGAGCAGCAGCATAGTGCGTTATTTTGGTAACGAGAGTGGAAGATTGGTCGATTTCAATCTGCGACTTTTCGTAGAATACTTTGGCAGGATTACACTGAGACCACGTAGGATATCCATTTGCAGGAGCCTTGTTCATGAACAACAAGCTAAGAATGAAGTATAGCCGTAATGACCTATGATCGAATACAACTGAGGTGATATGATTAACAATTCCGTCTGTTGATTTCGAATGTTTATTGGCTTTTACCGTGATTTGTGTAATCCTGGAAAATAGAACATATCTAGAAGCATGAGCGCTGACAGTGACGTTCTAGATAACACAAGTTACCCAATCGGTGAGCTTCACTTGAATTAAATCGCGTAACTCCTTCATCTCTTTGCACAAGCAAGTTTGTTGAATGTACCTGCTCATTGCTTGTTGCTGTTGTTAATGTTTCCATCAATCCACTCCTTTACGGCATCCTCGAAAAAATAAGTTTCCAGAAGTAGCAGTGAAATGAAAAAACAAAACACGAGGAGTCTGATTTGTACTCTGTTACCTACCTCACGCCACCTTTATGCATCTCAGTTTCTCCAGCTGTACTGAAGTGAACTGGTAAAATAGCCATATCCCAGTCATGGAAGAGGTCAAATGTCGCTCTGGTATGCATAGAGAGAGGCTCTTTCAGTGGTGGTTGAGGACGGTTCTTCACAGTGAAGGCAGTTTCCAATTCATTAATTACCTTAAACGCGTGTTGCTTGTTCTTCAATCTAGCAGACCATAGATCGAGACCCTTCCCTGATAAAGCATTGAGAACATTCAGCACTGTTGACAACTGTCCGTCAAAGGTTTTGTAGATCATAATTGCAGACAGACAGACATATGATCCTAAAGGCATAAAGAGCTCATCGTACTGAGCGACAAACTCTATTTCATTAAACACAATTTAAGGAGGAAATCACAGCCCTGACAGCATACATCTACAAATCAAGGCGATTAGGATTTCGTCGTATGTGATATGCCTTCGTCCATTAATTCTTCCAATTCAAGACTCTGAACCCCCCAGGGCCGTCTAATATAGTCGTTGGTATTGTTCTCCGTCCCCCCTCTGTCTGAAGAACGTTGCCAGAAATCCCATGCTGGACAATCCAAGAAAGGATACACCTGTTCCGCAGCAGCGCGTTCCGCTGAACCACAGTTAGAAGTTGACTGCACAGGCGGAGAGTTCTTCGTAATTTCCCCTGAAGGTAGAGCAGCAAGCTTCTGTCTAGCCTTGGGCCAATTATCGATTCCCAAGTATTTGCAAGCGTTCTTGAGTGCTGTGAGTGAAATCCCCTGGGGTGATTGATCAGACAGATATACACGATCCTGAAAAGGAACTTACCAGGTGCCTTGCTGCATCTACTTGACGAAGAGACAAAAGAGACTCAAGCATGTCGAGTGTGAACGTGATTTCTTTCTGCTCTTTCTTGTCTGCTGGATTCTCGTCATGCTTCCTCCTACGAATGAAAACGCGGGCAGTCTTGGGACCGAGCATGATCTTGGACAGCGCTAGAACTTGTTGGGATGGAATCGGGAACAGGCAAGTGGCGTCAGGCAGAAACCACTACCTATCAGGCTGAGGCTGAGACACAAGTAGAGTTGAAGCAGGTGGACAAAGCAGAGGAGCAAGGATTCTGTTCGTGAACTGCCGCGTGATATGCGTGCAGGACAAAACCCCTCCTTGAGGAAATCAATCGAAGAGGGAGCAATCAGGGGTGGGTGGTGTATCGAAAGGGGGTATGAGATGAGTCCTGCTGAGGGGGTGGTGCCGTTGCACCGCAGGCAAGAGGGTGGTGGTGCAAAAAAAGGTTTTAGCAGAGTATCGCAGTAGTAAAACGATGTCAGGTAAAACCGTACATTGGGTTTTCTCTTTTCTTCTTGTAAACCAGTAGTTAGGTGGGTATCATGGGGGTAGGGGTCATCTGTGTACCCGTGACGAGGTTTCGGGCGCCATTGAAGCTTAAACCTTAACCAGAGATTGTAAGCCCAACATGATATGTTTCATCGCGTACTCCGCTAGCTAGGGGCAAACAATTGTTTTTTTTTTGCTTTTTCCTTTTTTTCATGAACCGATGTGATTGTATTGCCGCCAGTTGGTCCATGGGCCAGACGCAACGTTTCGGAGACTCTTACAAACATGTACTTCAACTTCTTCATCTCCAGATCGTTCGCTGGAACCTAGTCACGTTACCCAATCTCCGAGATCACGATACCGGCAATTTCGCGTACCCCACCCCCGGCAACCAACGCTGCTCAATTCAAGCACACGTCTTCCTCGATATGGCTTGTTAGTGCTCGTCAGGGAAGCAGCACAACAACGAACAGAAAAAAAACTACAGAGCGAACTGAAACCACCATCCTATCTGTATTCTACCGCCAAGCAAGCTATCCGTTTCTGTTACAACCATGCTGGGCCCTAAGGTAGCCCGAGTCTTCCTCCGCAAGCGAAGAGGCGAGGCAGGGGAGGGCGACCAGCAGCCCTCCCAGAAGGAGATCCTCATCACCAACGAGACCATCGAGTCTCTCCTCCACCTCCGTCAGGTCGACGCCGCCAACCAGCTCGGCATCTCCCTCACGGCCCTCAAGAACGCCTGCAAGTACCTTGGCTTCGACGACTGGCCGACGGCGAGGAGCAACCTGATGGCGGCTCAGCACGGGAGATCAGGGGAGCTGCCGTCGCTGGTGTCAGGACCTGGGCAGGCAGGAGGGCCCCATGCCGGGGGCTCGTCGTCTGTAAGGCAGCTCGTAGAGCGGAGGCCAGGGAATGTTGAATTGGCGGCGGCAGCGGCAGGGAGGCCAGAGGGAGGGGCGGCTGCGAGGAATCAGGTGGTGAGGGGGAGTGGGCAGACAGCGCGGACGATGTCAGAGGGAGACGTGGGAGGAGGGAGAGGGGAGAAGCGGAGGGTGCTTGCGGAGAGTCTCCCGGAGCTGAGGAGCCACGGGCTGGAGGAGCTGATGCTGGACGCGCTGGAGCATGTGGCGGGTGTGTGACAATACAGGACTGGGGATATATTTTTTTTGCAGAGCAGAACAAGCATGAGTTTTTTTGCTCCGTTCAACATAGTGGATTTTCAATCATGTCAACTTGATATGCAAAAAATTGGGTCACCCCGGGTCTTGAATGCTGACCTGTTCACATCATTTAGCACGCCGGAATGGAAAGGCGTCATGATCCGGCGATTTGTGGAAAGCTGTTTGTTTTACTCCAATCGATGTATTCATCATTGGAAGTGGGTTAGTTGAACTTGGATTCGTTCAAATCGATCATGGTTGATCCAAGCCTTCGTGGCAAGGTCAACTTGAAGCGCGGCCTTGGAATCACTGTAGCATGACTGTGACATGATCAGTGAAGCCCGTAATGATTCAGTATCATCATGAGAAAACTTGAAACACTGGCCATGATTTCACTGGCACTCCCATACTTTGAGGTGATCAGACAGTCCGATCACTACAGGCTAGTCAGTGCAGTCCGATCACTGGCACTAAGTACTACCGTAACTGAGTACCGTACTACGGTCACCGAACCCGGCCACCGAGTCGTTCCAAGTTCGGGCTCACATTCAGTCCGGGCGGCCGCGCTGTCGGAACCGTTCAACCCGGTGACCGTACGGTACCGGGTACGACGGTACTACCGGGCTAGGGCCGCCCCGGGCCCGGCCCCGGCGGGGCCTATCCCGGCGCGGCGGTGAAGGCTGGCAAGAGTCGAGTTCAGTGCCGCCGCGGCCGCCCGGCGCCCGGCGGCGACCAGGCGGCTGAGTCAGTGAGGCTGCCAGACGGTCGGACTCAGCGACGGTCGCCGCGCACTGCGGCACGCGGCCGGGCCCGGGGCACCGTGCCACGTGACTGAGACGGTCACAATCATCGGATGCGGCCCGGTCACCGGGTGCGGCCACGGTGCCCGGCCAGGCTCTGAGGGCGCGGCCGCCGTACTACGGTCCTGGTCACCCCGGGCCGTGGCCCACCGGTCACGGCGGGCCGCTGTGAGCGCACGCGGCAATGAGTAGCATTCCACAAGTTAAGATGACTACCGTATTCCGAGGCAGAGTCCGTCTCAGTGACTCAGCCTGTGACGGGCCGCGGCCCGGCCCGTGCGGCTGGCATACTGGTTCGGGTCCGCCTCAGATGCCGGCATGAGCGGCTCACGAGGCATCAGCGGCATGATCATGATGGCATTGTGTGGCACCCGGTGACCGGGCCGGTCACTGGCATACGCCGCGGCCGCCCGGGCCGCCCGGCACCCCCGCGGCCCGGCCCGGGCCCGCCGGGCCGGGCCGGGCACTGGGCGGCTTCCGAAACTATTGCCCGGCCACCGACAGTGCCACGGTGTGACTCGCCCTGGTGACCGGCGGGCGGCGGGGCGTCGGACGGTCGCCTGCGCCGGGTCACCCGGGGGCCAGTCACGCGGCAGTGCCGGGGTCACCGCGGCCAGCGCCGGGCCTTGAATCGGGACTGAACTTGGCTTGGAAACCGGGCCCGGGCCGCCGGTCGGCCGTAGCCGGGGCCCGCCGCCCGGCCCGGCCGCGCGGCGCGGGCTCACTGAGTCCGACTGCCAGGATGATATTCTTTTTTTACAGTCACTTTCTCGTACTCATCTTTAACTTAACTTTGAGTAAAGAATGTGGCCAACGGTTGTTTTAGGCGGGTCGACTGATACGGTGAGTTCTGAGATGCCGTGAGCCCACGTGACAGATAAAGAAAACACAACGTTTCGTGGGATATTTTGTGCGAGCCCGCTCCAGTATGAATTCTCCCCCAAAAAAACTCCTTGTGTTGTAAAGGTCTCAACGACCTCCCTGTGTTGCAAGAAGTCAAGTGTTGATGCGTCAGGAGGAGTACCTAACTGTCATTATTTATTGATTGATCCTGTAAGTAAATCAGGCATACTGCTTACCTTTGCACCCTGGCAGATATTCCTTATTTTCATCGCTCATGGATATCTTGTGCTTTCCCCTCATGGGTCCTCATGGGTCTCTAAATTGACTACCCCACCCCTGACATGAACTGCGAGATACGTACCCCTGCTTCCAATCAATACCACCCCACCCAAGGTAGACCACAATCCCCTTCTTATCTCGATCGCCGCATGCTCGGTTTACCGCTTAGCTACTCTTCGACTCCTGACAGCACATTCATCGCTTGTTCAGCTAGCAGCGACAAATCGATCTTGATCTTCAGAGCTACAACAGTGAAGGGAAAACAAACTCCTTCTTGACCCCAACCAAGGCCATCCCTTAACGGCAAGCCCCCCTTGAGATTTGTGTTCGTCTGGCCCACGGCAAACACATAACCAAAACTTTGATCTCGATCATTCAAAGCAACTCAGAGTCAGAACTGAACAAGAACTTGAAGAAATCAAAATTCAGATAATTCGGCAGCCAAAGAACCTGTTGACTGCCTGAAACCTGTTGACAACCATGCTGGGCCCTAAGGTAGCCCGAGTCTTCCTCCGCAAGCGAAGAGGCGAGGCAGGGGAGGGCGACCAGCAGCCCTCCCAGAAGGAGATCCTCATCACCAACGAGACCATCGAGTCTCTCCTCCACCTCCGTCAGGTCGACGCCGCCAACCAGCTCGGCATCTCCCTCACGGCCCTCAAGAACGCCTGCAAGTACCTTGGCTTCGACGACTGGCCGACGGCGAGGAGCAACCTGATGGCGGCTCAGCACGGGAGATCAGGGGAGCTGCCGTCGCTGGTGTCAGGACCTGGGCAGGCAGGAGGGCCCCATGATGGGGGCTCGTCGTCTGTAAGGCCGCTTGTAGAGCGGAGGCCAGGGAATGTTGAATTGGCGGCGGCAGCGGCAGGGAGGCCAGAGGGAGGGGCGGCTGCGAGGAATCAGGTGGTGAGGGGGAGTGGGCAGACAGCGCGGACGATGTCAGAGGGAGACGTGGGAGGAGGGAGAGGGGAGAAGCGGAGGGTGCTTGCGGAGAGTCTCCCGGAGCTGAGGAGCCACGGGCTGGAGGAGCTGATGCTGGACGCGCTGGAGCACGTGGCGGATCTGTGATATGCAACCAGAGGAAGGAGAAGTTATGATCTCAGTGATGCAACGTGTAATGGATACAATGATGCCTTGCTTTGAGGGTTTGATTCAAGATGGCTATCTCGTGCGAGAACACCTTCGGTTTGCTTTGCGTGAGGCACGAATTTGAGATGTTTGCAACGGCATCAATCAACACGAATTTTGTCTACGCAAGACTGAGACACTTTTTGTTCTGATTGATTTCTTGACTTTCCCTGGACTGCTCCTCAATGCCTGCATCGTACATTGACGTTGATTGATGATGAAACATCGCTGTGAGCAGCCAGTCCTTCGGCATCGAGCTACCAAGTGTGTTCTTTGGCATCGTTGTCTCCTGTTCTCCACAACATAGATCGCGCCTGTTATCATGTAATGTTGTTGAGACTGCCGACGATCTTGTTCCACCTAGATAAAGCCTTGTTCCAAAAACAACCACAGTGAATAGCACATCACAGAGCTTACAAGAGCCTCGCACCTCTGCAATGATCACGCATGCTGCACATTGAGATTATTGGTCTATTTTTGTGAAGAGAATAGCACAAAACATCCCTCGTACTTCATTTAATCAGTTCGTTGGAATGCAGACCTTCACGTGCAGACGGCAAACAGAGGGGGTGTTGGATCTTGCAACCAAAGGACTTTTGAGAGTTGCTTTGGCTTGCAATGTAATTTCAGACTCAAAGAAAGAGAGAGCGGGATGGGAGATGGGAGCAGATGCAGATGCAGATGCAGATGCAGATGCAGATGCAGATGCAGATGCAGATGCAGATGCAAACGCAGATGCAAACGCAGATGCAAACGCAAATGCAGGGGCAGGAGCAAGTGCAGGAGCAGGAGCAAGTGCAGGAGCAGGGGCAGGAGCAGGAGCAGCAGAGGAAGCAGCAAAGGAAGCAGCAGCGACGCATAATGCAAGGGCAGTACAAAGTGACTTGTTAAGGAATGAAGGGAAGTGACCAGAAAGGTTGTCAGGTATGATACAAGATGATGTCAACATACCCTTCAAGACAGCGTTGTTGATCAGTCTGTAGCATTACATAGAGAACTCGATGCAAAAGAGCAAACATAGCTATAGAGCAGACGCAGGGGAGGAGGATAGCAGTCTTGAACGATGTGCTGGGATGAAGAAGATTGTTTGAAGGAATGATGCGAGCCGGACAGGAGGGGAGAGGGACCATGCATGCGAGAGGGAGGGAGGGGCGGGTGGCTTGCGGAGGGGAGGAAGAGATGCCAGATTGAAGTCAAGAAGGCAGAGACGGAGCTATGGGGCCAGAGAGACGGCAGGAGGAAGGAGGAAGGGGGGGGACGGGGAGAGGGGAGAAACGAGGATTGGTTGAATCGGAAATGGATTAAGGGAGGTCAGATTTAGTGGAAGGGAGGGAGGGAGGGAGGGAGGGAGGGAGGGAGGGAGGGAGGGAGGGAGGGAGGGAGTGAGGGAGGGAGGGAGGGGCCAGAAAAAGGGAGGAGGGTCCAGAAGGGATCGGTAAAGGATATTAGGAGGGATGTGTTGAAATGGAACAAATTGGCATGAAGTGGGGAGGCAGGGGGGAGTGAGTTTCCAGAATGTACGATGTGGGGAAGGCAAGCATAGAGAGAGGGGGGGGACGAGGACGAGGACGAGGACGAGGACGAGGACGAGGACGAGGACGAGGACGAGGACGAGGACGAGGACGAGGACGAGGACGAGGATGAGGACGAGGACGAGGATGAGGACGAGGACGAGGATGAGGACGAGGACGAGGACGAGGACGAGGATGAGGAGCCTTCTGCTTCTGCTCTATCCTGCATTGTTGATTTGATTGACGTGCACGTTTTTGTCTGTGACATGTACGTGCGTGACGATGGAACATGTTCACAGTTAGGAGATGAACCAATTATTAGTACTCCACCTTATTAGAGTAAATTATTTTGGTATCTAATGATAAATCAATGTGGGGTAGTTCTATTAAAAAGGGTATGTTGAATGACCCCTTTCGACAATACATAAGTGGGGTATCTATCTTTTTTTTGCTTTTTTCCTCAACAGCAATTATGGTCGGCTCCTTCAAAAACTAGTTGAGGAGAGTGCGTGGACCAGGATGCAAGACAGTCATCAGTCTTGGAGTCACTGGTGTGTTTTTGCATCTCTTTGTGCGCAACACTCCCTTGCCGTCCTTGTTTCGAACTCGTTCTTTTTCTTTGTCCGACGAACATCAACATTCACTGGATGACTCTTGTAGGATGTGCGTGAACGAGCAGGACGGTGGGATCAGAACCATGATGAGAGAGAGGAAGAGAAGGGGAAGTAGAGGTGGAGAGAGGAGGGGAGCGGTGGAAGGGTGAGGAGCCGGGTGGGAAAGAACGCAGTGGAATGAGGGGATCAAGAAGGAAAGAGAGGGGAGGAGAGATGCATTTTAGCATACAACCCGAGGATGAGAGTGAAGTCAGGAGCTGTGGAAGTCAGTGAAGACATGACAACGAGTAGCAAACAAAGAAAGCACGAGTTGTGAATTCTCGGACAAGAAGGAACGGCATTGTGATTCATCAAACAGGAATGGAGATCAGTGGGGCCTGACAAAAGTGAAGCAACAATAACATGTGATGGGGCAATGAACACAAATTCTACGCATGGACCCTTCGGAAAACATGGAAAAACAGTATGGTTTTGAGACAACAGTACAGGATGTATCAATGGAAACTGAAGTACTACCACGTTCAACAACCCTTCGGTCGTCTAGTACAACAAGAAGCACAGGTATGCTCCGATTGCCGACAGTGGCAACAACAATCTGAGGGCTGTGAAGCTTGTATATCCACAAACAAGACAGGCCATCTCCATCATTGCGACAGCGACTGGTATCAAGTGACACAACGGATCCTGACATGGTGTATGGCTTGTGTATGAACAACAAGATCCTGTTGTCGACAGTGATGATAGCGCTTGTCCAATCTTTACAGGGCTACTATATGAAAGACGTAGACGCTGTTGACTTAGACAACTTAGACACTGCTGTTACCTGCAGCACGAGTGGAAAACAATTGCAGAACAAACAGGTATGTGCTGATTCCGGCTTCTTTCCTTACCTTTTTACTCCGCGTCCATCTTCTCAACCCCCCCCCCGACTGACTCTCTCCCCTCGTTCCTCTCTGTTTCTGCATTGAACTGTGTCCCTATTACCTCTCCTTCTCTCCTTCCTTTGTCTTTGCTGCTATCTTGATGTTTCTTTCCTATCAGCTTGTCAGCTGGCGTATTGTGCCAACTTCAGTAAGAACATTCTCGTCGCAACACGCTCGTTACTCGCAATGCCAGTGTTCTTGTTTTATCTTCACAAGGTTTGTCTTAGTGCTCTGACGCTGATGTTCTTGTTTTATCTTCACAAGGTTTGTCTTAGTGCTCTGACGACCCTCTCTTGAGCTGTCGTGATCTAGTTTTCTTTCTCCCCGTTTTCTCTCCGCTCCTCTCAGCCCTCCTCCTGTCTCTCTTCAGACAAGCTGCCCTGCTTGAATCGATGAATCGTTTCCATGTCTGTTCCTAGTTACCTCGTTCCTGTTGAGACAAGTATGTACATCTTGATGTTTGATTCAGCTTCTGTCTCCTGGTAACAGCGTATGTTGAAGTCGTTTCCTCCTCTAATCCCTCACTTCCTTCTTCACTCCCTCACTCCTCACTCTCTCTCCTCCTCCATTTCTTGATTTTTTCCCTCCATCCCTCCATCTTTCTTTCCTTCCCTTCTCTCCCTCCCTCTGTAGAGGGTAGATCTAGATGAAAAGAGACAATCAGGAAATTGGTGGCGATGACAACAAGGCGAAGGTGAACAAAGACTTCTTGTCCAGCAGCTGTTTTCTGTTTTAAATGGACGGCAGGAGCGAAGCATTGAAATACTACTTGTTGATAACATGCTCTGTGTACAGCAAGGTGACAATACATGAAGCTTTCTTCATTCCTTCACTTCCTTCTCCCTCCCGTCCTTCGTGACAAGAAGAAGGGTGTGTTTGATCACAATCATGAAGATGGCATGAAAGAACAAGATCTGAGAACATGAGCAAGAACAGGAACGAAAGGAGATCATGTGAGAATGAAGAATGAAGAGCTCTGAGAAAGATGAAGGAACGAAGAGCTATGAGGAAGATGAAGCAGAAAAACGTAGGACGGACAACACAAGGAGGGTGACAGCAGGCCAACCATCACGTTTCGAACAAGGGCAAGGACAAAGAAAGTGAATCGGAAAATTGCAACGATGATGATGATGATGATGATGATGATGATGACGATGACGATGACGATGATGATGATGATGATGATGATGATGATGATGATGATGATGATGATGATGATGTAGAGGACAAAGATGTAGAGGACAAAGATGTAGAGGACAAAGATGTAGAGGACAAAGATGTAGAGGAGGAGGAGGAACACAAAGACATAGATGTCAAAGAGCAGTGTGCCTGAAACAGATTATAACTGCATCAACCGACGAAATCCTTTTTGGGGGGTGAACAGCATGCACTACCAAGATTGCAAAACAACTGCTTGGAAGAGTTCTTACCTGTGTGTTTGAAGCAAGCTCTTATTAACATAAAGTTTAAGCTCACCTTTAAGGTTTCCATTTGATTATTCTCAATTTCCCCATGCGTGCTATCTAACGCACTTTGATGTTTCTACTCGATCTCTTTGTAGATCATATTCTGGCTGCTCTCTGACAATAGACGCTTCCAGCAACAACTCATAACCTGCCAATGTGGCTGGTATTTCAACATGGATGAAGCCTGTTGAGGATACATGATGAAAACACTCTTGTAATCAATAGAGAAAATGCAACCAAAGGTCTGGCATTCGAGCATACTCCCATCCTCCTTCCCCCCCTCCCTTTCCCCCTCTCTTCTTTCTTTTCTCTTCATTCATTCGAGCGCACATATCACTTTTCCATAGCAAACTATCACAAAACGGTCGGCTCTCACAGACCAACCTTTTCATACAAACTCAGGCATTTTCTCCTCCTCATGCACTCGCAACGTGCTCCAGCGCGTCCAGCATCAGCTCCTCCAGCCCGTGGCTCCTCAGCTCCGGGAGACTCTCCGCAAGCACCCTCCGCTTCTCCCCTCTCCCTCCTCCCACATCTCCCTCTGGCATCGTCCGCTTCCTCCCGTCCCTCCCTCGTCTCGCTCCCTGCCTTCCCTGCCCAGGTCCTGACACCAGCGACGGCAGCTCCCCTGATCTCCCGTGCTGAGCCGCCATCAGGTTGCTCCTCGCCGTCGGCCAGTCGTCGAAGCCAAGGTACTTGCAGGCGTTCTTGAGGGCCGTGAGGGAGATGCCGAGCTGGTTGGCGGCGTCGACCTGACGGAGGTGGAGGAGAGACTCGATGGTCTCGTTGGTGATGAGGATCTCCTTCTGGGAGGGCTGCTGGTCGCCCTCCCCTGCCTCGCCTCTTCGCTTGCGGAGGAAGACTCGGGCTACCTTAGGGCTCAGCATGGATATGAATGTGCACGCCTGTGCTGAGGATCGGATAGAATGTGACGCGTAGATAGGTGAAGGAGGGAACAAAAGCAGGTGATCTGTGTAGAAACGGAGGGTAGAAGAAGCGGGGGGGAGGAGAAAGCGGAGGGGAGGAGAAAGCGGAGGGGAGGAGGAGGAGCGGGGATGGAGGAAGCGGAGGGGAGGAGGAGAGCTAAGGGGGTTATTGTACTAGCACACATACAAAGGGACGTTCGGATCTTTCCGAGTTTGTTGCCCTTCAATTACAGGCAAACAGGGTAGGCCTGATTTCAATATTGGCTCTGCTATGGAATCTTCAAGGTTGGGGTACTAACCTTAGAGCCTGGGTTTCGCCTTCTTGGACCCCGCCTTGTAAACCCACACCAGTTGAAATCTTGAGCTCGGGATCTGGGAACAATGAGCAGGACACGGGGAGGAGCTACGCTATGCCGTGCTGACTCGACTGCGTGCACACAAGGGTGGGAGAAGAGCTGTAGCTGCGGTCGTGTCTCTGCGAGAGCATGAGCATGACAAGTAGGTGCGGGGAGGAAGGCAAAGGAGACTCTCCGATGAACAGCTTCTGACGCGTTGATCCTAGCACGAGGGGAGGAAGAGCGGAGGACTATATCAAGAGCTTGATCAGGTCGTGCAACATCATCAATGACATCACAAGCATGAGACTATGATATGACTCCTGCTGAGATGAGTTCAGCCTTGCAGTCATTGAACCCTCCGAGGCAGCTCGAGACAAGAGGGCGCTAATAGTCTGATCTCCATGCACCAGGATGAAGACAGCGAGAAATACAAGGATGTGATATGACAGGAGGACGAGGACGAGGACGAGGACGAGTGCGGATTAAGGTTGGGAGGGAACCGAGTAAAAGATGAGAACCAGAACGTGGGCGAGCAAGATAATAGAAGCATGAACAGGGGCAAGGAAAGTTGTCAAGGATAAGGGCATCTAAAACGGCAAGCTATGGAATTAGACAGTCATTCGGTTGTGTTTAGCGAAGACGAATCCAACAATACATCTATCTATCTTTGATAACACAGCGCAATCTATCCACAGGAACGCGAGATCAATCGGACACTGTAGAAACAAGCAATCGAGGAGAGTTGAGGTGGATTCGATAAACGACTGCGATGCAAAGAGAGCAGGACAAAGAGTGGTCATGAGTATTACTAACCACCCCTTTGTTTGAGTCCGCCGATTCACTGATACTTCCATTAAAATTCATTTTCAGGAAAATTGCAAGACAATGAAATCAGAAAATCATCAATCTTATTGATCAGATAACATCCTGCCGCCTTGGCATGGAAATGAAAAGATAACAAGATTTAAACTAGCATTCTTCTCCATCCTTAAATCATCTGCTTCAAGAAGACATGACTTTTCCCGCGAAGAATGCAGAGACACGAACACGACCAATCTAAACTTTTCAAAACCAATAGATCAAATACACAAAAACAAGCTTGCCATCATCAGCCTACCGTTCCATACAAACTCCTCCCTCCCCCCCTCCCTTTCTCCTCCTCATGCACTCGCAACGTGCTCCAGCGCGTCCAGCATCAGCTCCTCCAGCCCGTGGCTCCTCAGCTCCGGGAGACTCTCCGCAAGCACCCTCCGCTTCTCCCCTCTCCCTCCTCCCACGTCTCCCTCTGGCATCGTCCGCTTCCTCCCGTCCCTCCCTCGTCTCGCTCCCTGCCTTCCCTGCCCAGGTCCTGACACCAGCGACGGCAGCTCCCCTGATCTCCCGTGCTGAGCCGCCATCAGGTTGCTCCTCGCCGTCGGCCAGTCGTCGAAGCCAAGGTACTTGCAGGCGTTCTTGAGGGCCGTGAGGGAGATGCCGAGCTGGTTGGCGGCGTCGACCTGACGGAGGTGGAGGAGAGACTCGATGGTCTCGTTGGTGATGAGGATCTCCTTCTGGGAGGGCTGCTGGTCGCCAACCCCTGCCTCGCCTCTTCGCTTGCGGAGGAAGACTCGGGCTACCTTAGGGCCCAGTATGGCTTCTCAGTGAAGGGATGGACGGATATGGAACGACGTGTCGAGTGAAGCTCTCCTTGGTGTTGGGGCTGGTAGGTCAGGGCTATCTTGGGCAGGGCGTGAGGCGGTGCACTGTGTAAGAAAGGAAGAGGGGGTGAGGGTAGTGGCTGCAAGGGAGTCGACTTTTGTAAAGGGGCCAATCGACAGTCAAACAGGCTGAAGCGTTTGGTATTAGAGGCTTTGCTATGAAATGCAGTAGGCTGAGTACCCCCGATTGAGCCTTGCATTGACTTTTTCTGCCCAATCTCGTGGATGCTATCTCGAGGTAAATTCTCGTTCATGAAAATGTATCATTTCAAATATTTAAAACTATAATAATATCCCGAAGATTTTTATATAGGCTGTTTATTTACTCCTCGACTCTCCTGATTGTCCTCGTACTGATTTTTAACTTAGGGCCGACTCTAGCCTCATGTCGCACGCGGCTACGCATCGAAAAGAAGTTATTTGGAATTTGAATTTACCTAAGGGCAATTGAACAAAATACTGTTCGATTGCAATACTAAAAGTTTAGTTTATAGGAGTGTAGCCGCGTGCGTAACCGCGAAATTTCGCGGCTACACACTCTGTACTACACAGTTTACAACATGGAACGACATTTCGAAACGTTGAAATATTATTGAAATATTATACTTTTAAATCAATTTAAAATATAATATACCGTATCGATTACTTTTCACGGCTTCATGTAGCCGCGTCATGAGGCTAGAGTCGGGCCTTAAATTTGAGTAAGTTACTTGGTAGTAACTGTCCCTAATAAGTTCTCTCCCAGGACTGCCGTCGAAGTTTGACATTTCTTGGATGCGATTCAAATGATTGTTCCTGCTCGGCACCGGACCTGAGTAGGCTCGATTCTGAATGATCATATCACCACGTAGAGCATGTTCTCATCTTTATCTTCCTCTTGCGGTCCGTCGTTGAACGATATGAATCGACTGCAGTTGGAATTCAGTGACGACCATGGTACGCACTGGCAATGGCGAGTTCAAGCCTCCCGGGGAAGGAGTCGCTGATTGAAGCATGCGTGGGTATGAACAAGATATCATATCGAGCCTGAAGACAGACATCGCGAGGAAAGGGGAAAGATCAGAGTATCATCTGCTGCATCAACGAAATTCATGAATTCTTTAGTGCACATCTTCCCTCTATCTTAATCTTGCCGTTTTTCCATGGAAGCTACGAAAACACTGAGATTGATCTAGAACTTAGTGATCGGTCAACTTGTTTGTAGTCTAACTTGAAAAAGATGGACCATCTAACCAAACCAGCATTCCAGATGGTGCAGGGCTTCATCCATAATGTTACTCGTCTCGTCGTCCAACCGCCTCGCCCTTCTTCCCTCTGACAGCCCGGTGATTGGTATATACCAGCAGCTGCTAGGCCCACCGCATGATCTACTTTGTTTCTCTCCAGCATCCACTTCCTGTTGAGCTTCACCCCCTCCTTCCTCGTCCGCGCTGTTCCCCGTCTCGCTGCCCTCTTGCTGCTGGTGCCCATCTTCATCAGCCCTTGTCCCCTCGGATGGTTTCTTCCTCTCCGTTCTGACTCGGCGATACACTGTCCTGCGGTAGGGCCACTTGGTCACGCCGAGGCTCTTGCACACAGACTTCAGGGCCGTCAGTGAGATCCCCTGTCATGGCAGTCAGCAATCACAAAGGCGAGGCTCCACAAACAGCGTGCGGTAGGCTCCTCACCAGCTCCTTGGCGGCGTCTGACTGCTTGAGGTTGAGGAGCTTTTGTAGCATTTCAATGGTGACAGAAACGAGTCTTCTGTCCTCTTGAGGTGGAGTGATATCGTTCCGCTTTGTTCGGGGCAAGATGTGTACCACTGTTCGCGCAGGCGTTGCTTCTACGTCTCCGCTCATCGTGAGCAGGTCACACAAAGATTTGACTGCGAGCTGTGATGCCAGGAGGAGAGGGGGGGGGGTTGGAAGAAGGAGAGGGAAGGGAGGGTAGGAGGAGAGGAAGGATGGGACAGGGAACTAGTTGAGGTCAGAACCTTATCAAGAGAGGCCCCCGGAACAAGACGCGGGAAGGAGGTGTCGGGACCACCTGTCACCCCCCATATTCCCCATTAATTATAGATAGGAGTTTTGGGGGTGGTGTCCGCATCATTATCTGGATGCCACCCCGTTCTGGACCTGAAGGAGATCTGGGGAAGTGTGGGGGTGGGGTGGGTATCCAGATATGCTTTTCACGAGTTGTAAGGACGAAAAGGTGTTTTTCTAGGAACAAGAGAGCGAAAGGATCTCTTTTCAGGTCCTCACCGGAAGTCCGGAGGGGTGCGGTAGAAAACGACGTAGGAGACAAGGAAGGGAAGAGAAGCGATTTCGAATCTAGAACTCCCATAAAAAGATATTTTTATCCTGACAGAAGTCGATCACGGGTACAAAAACTTTTCAGTCCGTGTGCGGCGCCCGTGACTGTGACGTGGAGCAGTAAAACAACCGTAGCCACTTGGCTACTAGCAACGCCCGCCGCTGGGCCCGGTGAGTGACCGTGACTGCCGGGCCGGGCCGCCGCTGCCAGGCCCTGAGGCCCGGTACGGTCGTGATCGGACCGGGTCACCGGGTGGGTTCACTCAGGCTCGGATACCGTACCGTGTCCCGTAGCCTACTACGGTCCGTGTATACGGGCCCGACTCGGCGGGGGGCGCCGGGGGCGCCCGGGCCCCGCCCGGGCCCTGGCATGATTGGCAATGACCGCCGACGCCAGAGTCGACGGTCACTGAGGTCACCGTCGGGCGCGCTGCCCGGCCCGCCGCGCGCTTCAAGTCGGACTCCGAGGCAGTGATTGCTTGACTGAGTAACTAAGTTGCGGCCCCATAAACTTTGTGACTCGCCAGTCCTCAGGGCCACTGAGTGCCGGCGGGCCGCCGCGCCCGGCCCAGGCGCCGCCGGCGCGGCCCGCCGCCGGCGGCCGCACTGACTCAGGGGCCGCTCAGTCACGATTATAGTGTTCCGACAACGTTGGTACTACAGTACGGTACGGTACTACTGACACCGTGCGGCACGCCTCACCTAGTAGGTGACTGTGACGGTACTTACGGTACGGTACCGCGGCGCTCAGCGGCAGGCTCCGACGAGCCTCCGCGCTGCAACTTTCACTTGCCCCGGGCCACACTGTCCGATCGCATCCGATGATCTGACTCGGTCGGAGGCTCGGATTCGGGCGGGCGGCCGCGGCAGTGTTCGTTTCACGTTTCCGAGTTCGCCGCCACCGGCCGCGGGATCCGATACCCGGCCCGGTCACCGGGTGAGTACCCCGGCGGTGCCACCGCCGTCACAACCGTTGAACAGTAGTCCCCCCCGGTGACGCCGGGTCCCCGGGCCCGAGAGTCCGGGCGTGCCACTGCCACTCGGATCAATAACCACGGGCCAGCCTGCCGCTGCATTGGCAGTCCGATCAATGATTCCGACTTAGGCCGCTTCCGGGAATTCCGCCGAGACGGTTCCGACTGACTGTGACAGCCCGGACTCCGACCGTGAACCGGCGTCCTGAGTCCGACTGTCAACTTGAAGTGACTCGGAACTGGCTTCGGAACTCCGGGACGCCCGGCCGGTGAGCCTGGCCCGGCCGGCGGTCCCGGCCGACTGATGAGTGACTTTTACAGCGGCGGAACGGTCGAGTCGGGCCGGGCGCGCGGCCGGGCGAACTGAAGTGATGGAGCTACGAGAGTTGGCTGCCGTTCGCCCAGTTGTGATGGAATCATGGCGGGAGCCCGGGGCTGAAGGCGCAGGCGGCGGCATCATGACGGTTGGAACGATCTGATCGCCTGCCATCAAGGCTGTTTCCAGCATGTCTAGCGATCAGTGGAGGAAGAGGAAGCAGAGGGCTGAACATGACGAGGTTTGTTGAGGGATGACTGCGCTCCTGAAGGCTGATGACCGTTGGTTCCTACAACAGCACAGGAAAGACTTCGTGGTGAGGAGTAGCAGAACTACCTACAGTACTGAACAGGTCGGACGTGGGCTAGGAGTGGCAGAATGGATCAATTTAAAACAGGTGAAGCATGTGACGCTACCATGATGCTTGTTGTTTCTTTAACTCACTTTTTTACCTTGCTTCACTTCTCAACCCCTTCAAGTTGTCGTGATGATTGTTGTTTCTCAAACCCTTGTCGTGATGATTGTTGTTCTTCAACCCCTTCGAGTTTCTGGATGATTGTTGTTTCTTTGAGCTGGCAACTGAATGATTGTTTCCCTTCCAGCCCGTTGAACGTCGATGGCATTGGGATGTAGGAGACGATGAGAAGAGAGTTGGGGGGGAGGAAGAGGAGGAGCCCTCTCATCTTCCTTCCCTCCTGCGCAGATTCTTGCCGTCTCGATCCGGGAGCGTCCGCTCTAGCGTGAAGGAGGAGGGCGGAGATGAAGGGGAGGGTATCCCAACAACGTTAGCGGGGCTGATGTATGCAAGGGTGAAGGAAACGCTCGAGCAGTGGAGGAGTCGACTGCAAGCGAGGAGGGAGTACCAGAAACGACTGCGAACGATCTACGGCCCGGGCCCTGTCGAACAAGTCTTCACGTGGTACGTGCTTGTTCCCCTCGGTGCTCTGCTCGCCAAGTTGGAGGAGTACTTTGACGCGTACCTCGTCATCCTCCGCCTCCGGTTCCTCCCTTCCTCCTCTGCCAGCGAGCGAGGGATGACATGGCGGGTGCTCGAGAAGCTGCAGAACAAGGTCCAGTTGATCCAGTCAGTCTGCGTCGGGCTAACAGTCTGCGTTGCCCTCATCGTCTACGAGTTTCAGTTCCGAGGGTACGTGCCGAGTTGGTCAGAAGACTGCAGAAACCCTTTCTCGGATCCTGCTACCTGCGTTGAGAACTCTTACTGCTCCTACCAATACTCCGAGCAAGACTCGAAGATGCAGCTGTCGTGTTTGCCCATCACCAACAACCTTAGTGCGCTCACCAAGCTCAAGGTCATGAATGTTGCCCTTACCTTGCTGATGATATGGAACCTGTTCGTCACCTTGGAGTACGAGAACGCGATCCGAGCACTTCGCAACCATGTTGAGTTCAGAGACAAGAAGCTTAGAAGATACTCGATGATTGAGAGCGGGCTCCTTCTCCCTTTCCTTGTTGAGGCAGTCTCCTTGGCTATCGTACAGATTCCCTTCCTTCAATTTGACGTGATCGTGCAAACCTCTTACTTTTCTACTCGGCCCAGCATGTACTCGTTCGACGGCATCATCGCAATCGTCATGACGTGTCGCACATATCAAGTGTGGAAGTGGTATAGGTCAGACCTCTTCGCCAAGTTCGAGAGCAGGCAGTATGGTGTGAGGATCAACGATGATCTCATGGGAAGCTGGCTGGCAATACGCTTTCTCATCCTCAAGAACCCATTCCTTGCATCTTTCCAGTTCTTCCTCGCCCTCATCTTAGTTGGCTCCTACGTCTTCCGCATAGCGGAGAGCAGCACCAACAGCGTCATCGCTGTCTACTACTGGGACTCCTTGTGGTTCGTCATGGATACAGCTCTCGGCCTTCCTGTAGGAGAGGTAGACATCACTCCCTCGACCTCCTTCGGCAGGTTCATCGCCATCGCCATCCGCCTCCTCAGCATCTTGTGGTTTGCGCTGCTGGTCGCCGCCATTCGGCTGCTGCTCCGCTTCGACGCCAAGGAGATCGAGTTCTTCGGGTGGCTCCGCTTGTCAAAGCTGTTCCAGACCCTGCGGACGAGCGCAGCGCGAGTGATTCAGTACTTGTGGATGTACCGACGGTCATGGCTGGTAGAGCGGCAGCGGACGAGGTTCAGGAGGGCCCGGAGGGACCTGATGAAGTTCGAGAGCGGGATCGAGAATCCGGAGCGATGGGACTTCGGAGCGTTCACAAGGGCGGAGTCGAGGAGGATATCAGAGATCAAGAGCAAAGTGTCGTCATACGCGAACCTGCTAGAGAAAGTTCTGGACAGATCGGGCGCAGACGAGAGCTACGACATGGCGGGAGTGATGAAGAGAGGAGGAGGGGCGATGTACTACAGTGATACTGATAGTGAGAGCGGGGAGGAGCTGGTGATGCTGAGCGGAGTGAAGTTTGGGAGCGACGAGGACGGGAAGAGGAACAGGAGCAAGCAGCCGTTGGAAGGAGAGGATAAGTACGGGGGCATGAATTACGAGGTGATGCTGACCAAGAAGGAGAAGCGGATTCGAAGAAGGAAGCAGCTTGAAGAGCAGATTGCAGTCTGCAGTAAGGAGGCGGGGAGCGTGAGAAAGGAGCTGGAGAAGGTAATGAAGGCCGTTGGGATCGTCCCGCAGGTCGTGGACAAGGAAGGGAAGGTGGTGCCGCCGGAGGTCAAGGAGATTCAACCGTGGGAGCAAGAGCTGATCGCCAAGATGGACGAGAGGTCGAGACGTTTACAGCAGGTTGAGACAGATCTGTCAGAGGTTGTTGTTCCATGTTGCTCCCTCCTATCTCACCCCCTCCTTCAGGCTATCACCCACATCCTGACGCTCGTCCAAGGGCTCTACCACAAGCGCGGCAAGGCGCCAAAGTAGCGAAGTGAAGAGGAGAAAGGAAGGAGCAGCAGCTGGGAGGAGGAGGGGGGCAGCTGAGAGAAGGAGGAGGAAGGAGGAGGAGTGAAGTAAGATCACTCCTTGTGGAGACTGGGGACCTCAGTTGTCAAGGTCTTGGCTCGCGGCTTGATGGACGGGCTGTGAACCTGCAAGCCCAGCTGTGAGTAGGAGGAGATCAGCTGGAGGAGGAGGAAGACGAGGGCGAGGATGAGGGCGACGAAGATGTTGCTGCCGTTGGAAGAGGAGGAGAAGGAGGAGGAGGAGGAGGAGGAGGAGGAGGAGGAGTACCCTCGCAGTCTCGCCCGAATAGAACTTGCTCGCACTGCATGTAACTTAGCATGAGAAAGATGAATGAAGAGAGAAAAGAAGAGGGGGGAAGAGGAGAGGAGAGGAGAGGAGAGGAGAGGAGAGGAGAGGAGAGGAGAGGAACAAAGTGGTGTAGACATGACGTCACCATTCAGCCACATAGGATTGCTCCTCCTCCAAGGTCATATGCCTGTCATTTCTCAGCTGCCTCCTCCACTCCAAGCTCGTCTCCGCCCACCTGAAGTGCAGGCGCAAATCTGGCACGTTGGTCCTGGAGATATCATTGCCGCTGGGGCCAGGGAGGTAGTAGTTGGCTCCTGCGCGTGCTGAATGAGGAGGGAGAGGAGAGGGATAGGAGAGAACCAATCCATTGGGACTTGACGCAGTCCTCGAAGCCGCTCTGTATGCCAGGTCAGTGGGAAGAAGGAGGAGGAGGAGAAGGAGGAGAAGGAAGGAGGTGGAGGGTGAAAGAGAAGGAGGAGGGAGGGAGATCGAAAATGAGGGGAGGAGAGGGCAAGAACACCAAAGTGGGGAGGGGAGGGGAGGAGCAGCGCGGGTCAAGGGGTGAGGAGAGGAGGAGGAAGGTGGGGGGATGGAGGAAGCCCAGGATCAACCTGGAGGACACTGTTTCGAGCAATCTCGCAGAGGTCCACATTGGAGTAGCGAAACATCTGCTGTCAGTCAGTGAAGGAGACGAGGCAGGTAAGGGTGGACGCAGGCAGGCAGGCAGGCAGGCAGGCAGGCAGGCAGGCAGGCAGGCAGGCAGGCAGGCAGGCAGGCAGGAGAGTCTCGCCTGTTTGGCCATGCCGTACTCTTCTAGCAACGGCTCCCTGAGCAGTGCAGTGAGAGGAGAGAAACGAGGAGAAGGTGGTGACTTTGTCATGTGAAATTGAAGAGGATCGTCAGTAGATAACGAGACGTTCAGCCCGCGCTGAGAGCCTGCGGCGTCAGCTAGAGGAGGAGCAGGAAAAGGAGGAGGAGGTAGACAAAGGAGAAGGAAAAGGAGGAGCAGGGAGGAGCAGGGAGGAGCAAGGAGGAGCAGGGAGGAGCAGGGAGGTGCAAGGACCTTGAAGTAAATGTCGAAAGGATTCCGATCGTACTGCAAGAAGAGAGCGTTGTTGCTGTAATCGGGTTTAGAAGCCGTTTGACAAAATAAAGGGATGATATGATACAACTATGATAGAAAATGATAGAAAGAAGTTGATGATATGAGATGAATTGTCAAGAACTATGTTGATGACATGATAGAAGGATATGGTCTACCTCATGGGCGAGACGGCAAGTCCGATCTGTTCGAGGTAGAAGAGATACTGGAGGGACTGAAGACAACAAGTCAAGGTTGTAATAGACATCTCGCAGAGATAACCGGTGATCGCCGCATGGTAATGCCATGGTTGATGCCATCGGCTGCACATGGTGTGAGAGAAAAAGCAGGGAGCAGGGAGCAGGGAGCAGGGAGCAGGGAGCAGGGAGCAGGGAGCAGGGAGCAGGGAGCAGGGGAACAAAAGGAAAGGAAGAGGACAAGGTAGGGGAGGAAGAAGAGGAGCAGGAGCAGGAGCAGGAGCAGGAGGAACACCAAGAGGACAAGAAAATGGAGGAGAGAATAGAGGAATGGTAAACAGGATTGGAAGAGGAAGACAAGACAAGAGGAGGAGAAAAAAGGAGAGGAGAGAACAGAACAGAACAGAACAGAACAGAACAGAACAGAACAGAACAGAACAGAACAGAACAGAACAGAACAGAACAGAACAGAACAGAACAGAACAGAACAGAACAGAACAGAACAGAACAGAACAGAACAGAACAGAAAACAAGACAAGACAAGAGGAGAGGAGAGAGGCGGCGGCAGCGGCAGCATCATCAAGCAGCAGCATCAAGCAGCAGTAGCAGCAGAAGGTCTAAACTTACCGAGCAAGAACGCTGCAACAACATGGTCCAAATCTCCTGCCTCCCCGCAATGAGGCCGGAGGGCGAAGGTGCTGCGTGAGGGTGAGGAGGAAGGAGGAGAAAGAAGCTTGCGGTCCACCTGAACCCTCTTTCTCTACGGAACTGTTTGCAAGCAGAGGGAACGAATCGATCAGTGCAAACATCACAACAATGCAGGAAGGTGATGGGAAGAGTTGTTCTAACCTGGTTCAATACGTGGATGTTTGCCCACATCATGTAGATGTAATAGCTGTAAGGCGTGAGATCACGAGAAGAAAGCGCCATGAGTCTCTTTGCCTGTATGGCAAGTTGTCTTCGCTGTCCCAGGTGTCTGGCGTTGGCGGATCCTGAAAAATGATCTCATTTGTACAAGGAAGATGACAACCATGCCATATGTGCAAGGAATGTATAACAATCATATAAGTTGTACAGGGAAGGTATTACAATCATGTTAGTTGTACAAGGAAGGTATAACAATCATGTCATGTATAAGGAAAATGACAATTATTTCACTTTTACAAAGGTGTGACAATCATGTTGAGTGTACGAGGAGGATAACAATATTTCAGTTGTACAAGGAAGGCAGAACAACATCGCCTGTCTCACTTTCCAGATCTTTCTCTCTCCAAGACTCTCGTCGTCTACGCTATCAAACGCGACCACCTGCAGCATCAGTCAGGCGAGGAAGAGCAGAAGATTTGACATGGCTGACTTGCTGCAGGAATAAATGGAGCTGCGGGTACTCCTGCAGCAAGAGCACAAGGTCAGTAGAGGGCGAAGGTGTGTGCATCTGATGGGGGAGGGGGGCAGGAGCAGGAGCAGGAGTAGGAGCAGGGGCAGGAGCAGGAGCAGGAGCAGGAGCAGGGGCAGGAGCAGGGGCAGGAGCAGGAGCAGGAGCAGGAGCAGGAGAAGGAGCAGGAGCAGGAGCAGGAGCAGGGGCAGGAGCAGGGGCAGGAGCAGGGGCAGGATTCAGACCTCTGGGGAGATTGTGGCTTTGAACAGAGGCTCAAAGACGTTTTGAATCTGGGAGGAAGAACAAGATCAGATGAGATTGCTTGTGAAGTGTGATATTCTTTCTCGCCATATCAGAGAAGACGCGAATGGAAGATGTTGTTCTCTTGTGCACATGATAAAGGCGTGGAATCTGTACACAGTTAGATCTAAAGAATGCAGAAGACAAATCTGACTGCTCAACTAAAACAATGACAACAAGGAGAGACAAGAAAAAACGACAAGAGACACAATAAACATACACGTTGAGGGAACCTGGATGACCCATCTGTTGTTGTCAGAGTAGAGATTGTTGTCACATATCCACTTTGCGAGCTTGTTCCATTCCTCCTTGTCTCGTCCTACACTCGCCATCTTCAGCAACTTTACTATACACGCAATCTTGGTCAACCGTAGATCGACACTCGCAATTCAGCCATCTGATACTTCGACTCCTGGTAGTCCGCAAAGAGCTCCTGTCGGTATACAAGTGCACATGTCAGGGTTGACTGTTGGTATGTGTTGGGTTGTTGCAGGTTGAAAGAGAAAGAGGAGGAGGAAAGAGGAGGAGATGTATATATGGAGATGATAGGTGGGAAGAGCAGGTAGATAGCAACAAGTAGGAGCAGGAGGAGCAGGTGGACAGAAGGTAGGAGGAGGAGAGAGAGAGGGGTAGATTGCAGGAAGCTGGAGGAGAGGTGAGTAGATAACAGGAGGTTGCAGGAAGGAGCAGAAAGCACAAGTTTGAAGGAGGAGGAGCGGGTACATAGCAGGAGATTGGAGGAGGAGGGTGTAGATAGTTGCCTCTTTATCACCTGGGTTATCTGTGCTAAGTACAAACCATCGATCATGTTGTCTGTTTTGAGGAAAATTTCGCGCAACCTGCGAGGTGAAGGTTTGATCAGCTGCAACGTGATGCAAGAAAAGGAGGATGAAACCTGGACGAGCCGCAAGGGTTGTACTTGAGATTGAACCTGTTTGCATGTCAGAGAGGAGTGCGAGGAGTCCTGAGACAGTTGTATGATGTGGTGATGGTGATGTGATCACGATATAGAGATGGTGGTGGTGGTGGTGGTGGTGGTGGTGATGATGATGATGATGATGATGATGATGATGTTGTTGTTGTTGTTGTTGTTGTTGTTGTTGTTGTTGTTGTTGATGATGATGATGATGATGATGATGATGATGATGATGATGATGATGGAGATGATGGAGATGATGATGATGATGATGGAGATGACAAAATAATAATTATTATTATCGTCTCCAACATCATCATCATCCTGATGGGCAATGCTGAAACGATAGCAGGAAGGGCGAGATGTAGAGAGAAAGAACAGTATGGGTGGCAGATGAAAGATGAAAATGAAACAACGTTGAGCAGAGAAACGAATGGTTGTGAGAGTGATTGTTCGCACGAAACGACTTCGGCATCATACTTCTACCTGTCAAAACGATGCAACGTGCTGTTGTCCGCGTGAACATCCTGGCACGGATGATGAGGAAGGAAAGAATCGCAGCAGGAGAGGAGGGGACCAAGTCTTGCGATAGCAGGAAAGCAGCTCGGGGTATCGATACTTACCAACATATCCAAAGAAAGGTCGTATGCTGTCATCCTAAGGGAGTCAAAAACCTGATACAGTCTCACTGAAATGGCAGATACCTCAAGATCTCTGCTCTTCTACACCCTCACATCTCATCGCATCACGTCCTCTCCCCTCCCTTCTCCCCCCTCCTCTCCTCTCCTCTCTCCACTCCCTCCACTTTTGTTCTCTTGTCTCCATTCCCTCCCCTCCCCTCCTGCACATCCCTCTTCTCCTCTCCTCTCTTCGCTCCTCCCCTCCCTTCCTTTCTTATCCCTTCTTATCCCTCCCACTCCTTGATCTCTCCCCTGTCCTCGCACCTCTTGTAGCGTCAATTCCTTCCCGTCTCTGAAGATGACAACTCGATCTCTGTCAACCTGCGACCAGTCAGCAAGGAAAACTCCTCTTCCATCTCCTCCTCTCCTCCTCTACCCCCGAGATCACTCAAAGCTCCTCTCTCTTTCCTTTCAACCATTCCTGCCTCCTTGTCTCCTCCTGCGCCTCCTGCCTCCTGCCTCCTCCTCCTCCTCCTCCTCCTCCTCCTCCTCCTCCTCCTCCTCCTCCTCATTCTCCACTCACCTTAAGCTTCTCTTGATGAATCGGAGCAAGTGCTTCTGGTGCATGGACGCGCTATGATGGATGTGGGTGTCGACCTGAGCGCTTGTCACGACATGGAGCAACTTGATGATGTTGTGACATGTCAAACCTTGCGCACGTTGTAGAAGTCCCTGTGAGGATTTATCTTGGCGATGGCGATCTCCTGAGAGTTGAGAGATTCATCAGCAGCAGCAGGAGGAGAGTCAGGCGAGATGAGGGAGATGAAAAGGGATGATGATAGAAAAGGTGATGGGAAAGGTGACAGACAGGATGACAGAAAGGACATGAGAAAGGTTGACAGCAACGATGATAGAGAGGATGGTAGCAACGATGTAAGAAGGATCTAAGGAGGATCTAAGAAGGGGTGTAAGAAACAAGACAGGTGTCAGCCAATGTGAGTACACACATAGTAAAGATGAGAACAATTGATACACTGGAGGACAGGAGATTGTATGGACGAAGACAGAATGTGAACGAGAAGAGAAAAGGCATGTCAGGACAGTCCGTGGACAGGGGAGAATTGACAAGATCGTTGTCAAAAGAGATTTGACAAGATGATTGTCGATCTTTGCCTTCACCTTGTCTTCATTGAGCAGAAGATGCATCTTGAATTTTGCTTCCAACAGCAGGAGCCTCTGCACTGACATGTCACCGTCTACCTTCCCGTCAGTATGGGCTCACCTTGGAGCAGAAGCTGTTCACTGATGGAGTTCCGATGACCTGAAGAACAATGAAAACTATCCTTCCTCCTTCTTCTCCCTGTCCTTCCTCCTCCAATTCTTCCTATGTCTCCTTCCTTCTCCTGATTCCAACTCCTGCCTTCTTCTCCTCCCTCCTTCTTCTCCCTCCTTCTCCTTCCTTTTTCTCTCCTCATTACCTCCCTACTTCTCTCCCTCCATCCACTCACCTTCATTGTTCTTCTCACATCATCGTAGAAATCAGAGCAAGAGACAGGAGCAGAATGATTGCTGCATGTCTCCAGTCAACGGTGAGCTATCATGACAACAACTTCATGTGCGATTCATAACAACATCTACAAACTGAACGGCAACAACATCTACAGACGTCTGTATCTTCGTCACAAGCTACATCAAGTTTGTCTTCTCATCCGACAAGTTTGACTGACCTTGACCCAGATAGCGAGTAGACGCCATGCTCAAAGCTCAGGTGGTGATCGGTAGAGTGCGGGAAGTCGCTCTCCTGGTCAACAGTCAGGAGAAATCTCTAGAAGAGGAAAGCGAAACAGCACCAGCACCAGCACCAGCACTAGGACGGAGACGAGGACGAGGACGAAGACGAGAACGAGAGCGAGAGCGAGAGCGAGAGCGAGGACGAGGACAACAAGGAGCACGAGGACGAGGACGAGGAAAGGTGAAGGGCTGAAACGGCGAGAAAGTAGGGATAGGAAGAACTCACCACGACACCTTCGGGGGTCAATCGAGATGGTCGGAACGGCAAGTAAGGTGGGGAACGCGAAGGCGGGAACCTCTCTCCCTCCCATATCGCCTGCAGGAAATGAAGAGTGAGGTGAAGGAGGAGCGGCAAGAGGAGAGGGGGAGAGGGGGAGAGGAAGGGGGGCTAAGAGGAAGTGAGGGGTGAGGAGAAGTGAGAGAGGTGAGAGCGGGAGCGGGAGAAAGGGGAAGAAAGGATGAGGAGAACGAGGGAGGGGGGAGGGGGGGTCAGGGGAGGGGAGGAGGCACTGATGACAACGTATTCCTCGTTGGCAGGAAGGGGAAGAAGAGAGAAGAAAAGGGAGGGCGAGGGAAGAAAGGGAGTTAATGGATAGGTATTGAAATGGAGGAGGAGGGAAGAGGGGAAGGAGGGGCAGGGGAAGAAGGAGGGGATGAGCAGGTATGCAGAGAAGGAACGGGAGTGGAGAGGAAGGGAAGGAGGGGAAGGGAAGGGGGGAGGAAGGGGAGGGGAGGACGAGAAGGGGAGAGGAAAGAGGCAGAAGTCTGTTGACCTTTTGTGCTTGTTTGGTGGCTCCGACGTACTTCAATCTCCTTTGAATGCACTGCAGGAGAAGAAGACGAGGGGGTACAAGCAAGAGAAGTAGCAAGGCGAAGGAGAAGCGTTGAGACGAAATCAGAGAGCAATCGCACACATCATTCCATAGTGAACAACCTTGTCGAGGTCAGCAGCTGCTTTTGCAATCTCTTCAGTTATCTGTTGCATCGCATGCAGGTGAGAAAAATTGTACGAGGGTGGAGGGTGACGAGAAAACATCGAAAGCAAAAAGTTACACAAACAACACCTACCGGGGTTTCCTCAACAGCAAATTGCTTGAAACGACCGTCAGTGTACGGAACAGAATGCATATCATTCACCTGGCTCGTGTAGATTGTTTCCAACGGTATGTTCTCCGCAGTGATCCGTTTCAACTGCAGGGGGAGCAAACACTCATGATCGGCCAGGATTCTTTGTCGAGAGAGCAAACCTGCGGCTCTTGCAACGGCACCTTTGCGAAGGGCTTCGGGGCTTCAGAAAAACAAGTTTAAAAGGTGACCATGGAATGAAAGACGTCCTCACATGTGATAGATGTATCGTTGTTGAACTCCCCGACGGAAGAAACTGTAGCACACAACAAGCGTCAACAAGCTCCAATGACAGTCTTTAGCTCACCGTGTCGTAGAAGTGGGTAGACAGGCACAGTCTGGAACGATTCCGTCTCCTCATCTTCTGCAAAACCACCGAACATCAGAGAGGTGCAACAACAACCAACGAACCCCCAGCAAAACTCATCTTCTCCTCCTCTTGCCACACATCTTCTCACCATTGGGGAGCCAATCAATCGTTTCTCCCTGCAAGATTGGGATATTTCGGGGCGATCCGTTCTCAAAGGTGCCCTTGATCTCTATATCATACCTCTCCCCTCCTGCTGAGCAAGAGGAGACGTTTGGGTAAGAGCACGGCAGAACAGCCCAGAAGAGCATGAAGCAGTTTACCTTTTCTATCATTCTCCGCTCCGCCCCATCCGAGGTAAGATTGGCTCATGCCTATCAACAAGGTCATACGGCGATTGTACCGCAACCTCCACGATACGTGACAACTACACAGTGTGATACAATGCAGACTAAACACACATTTCTTGTTCTCGGTTCGTTCTATCTACATCCTTTGACACATTGCAAGACCCATTGCATTCGCAGAGCGAAGGCGGCTCGGGGGTTTCTCAGGGTAACTAAAGACTCGTTGCTGCAACAAACCCGCAACAAGTCGGCAAGGGCGACATGCTCTTGCTGCACATCTGAACAAGCTATAGAGAGGACGCAAGAGAGGCTAGCAGCAAGACTCGTTGTCCTTCCTCCCTGCATTCATCTCTCCCCCGCCGCTGCCTCCCTCGCACGCCCCATAGCGACTCCTTTGCAAGGAATCTCCATAGAGATAGAAGGAAATCAGGGTCCCTTCCACCGCCCACCCCCTTCAGCTCATGTCTAATTCAGTCAAATCAAGGGTAGAAAGATGATTTGTCAGGGTAGGGTAGGGAGCGCCGGGTGGGCCGCCCCGGGCCCGACGAATGAGTCCGAACACGTTCTCTCACTGAGTTTACAAGAAACACTTGAGGTAGCCTTGTGAGCCTCGACTGACTGAGGGCAGTCACATTTCTATAACTAAATTTCCTTATTTGAATTCTCTGCCCTTCTCACGCCAGACGCTACTTCCATTGTCAGCCGCTGAGTGGACCCTACCCCTGTTTCTCCCTCAATCCCAACGATGACGCTACCCCCACCCCTCCCATTGATTGATTTTGAAGCATATGGACCGGGTACTCTTCTATGCTGTTGACGTCAGGGCGCAAGTGTCGGTCATACGTTGATTTCGAAAGCCACGATGTTGCACATTCCAATGCAATATGGCTGTCAATAGAGAAATAATTTTGAAATTTGTACTTTATTGTTCAAATTATAAAATAAATATACATGATCCTTTCACAATATGTTCATTCATTTCGCCAACTTGAAGGGTCCTCCACAGGGCTTAAACTGTAGATGAGGCCGGATGATGTGAAAACTAGCTTTTTCGTTTTATCACCCACCATACAAACCTACAATTTCATGGGTATATCCACCCCCTTTCAGTTATGCGACCACCCCCTTCAACGAAATGGAACCCCTACCCTTGATAAAGCGACCCTTTACTACCCCTACCATCAAGAAACGAAGAACAACCCTACCTCGCGCTGTCGTACTATTTACAATCTACCACATATTTCCCCCAGAAAACTAAATCAAAAGGTAGGGTATAATAATACCCCCACCCCACATACGACCAGATCACTACCTACCCTACCATCCTCTATACCCCTTCCTGTACCTCAGCAATTATCCCAATCACTACCCCCACCCTTCCACTGTACCCTCATTCTTTAACCCCTGCCCCGCTCCCCTACCCGGCCTCCCCCTCGAGTCTCCCTCTATATAAACTCACCTCTCCCTTCTCCTCCTCATTCTCTCCCCTATCTCCTACCACTTTAGGTACCCCCTACCCCTTTAAATTGTCTTCCGCCCCCCCACACAGTAACTCCGCTTCTGTTCCGCCATGCTCGCTGCTACCGTACGCTCCGCCGCCGCTCGCTCTTCCCCTGCCCTCAGGAGATCCTTCGCTGCTCTTCCCAACACCCAGGGAAGCTGGGCTGCTCGCTGGGCCAAGCCTGATGCCCTTCCTCTTGTCGCCCTGGTCTCGTTTGTCTCTGCATTCGGTACCTGGAAGCTTTACGATCTTGGAATCCGCCAGCAGGGTCCGGAGACTGGAAGGAACGTCTACTGGCAGCGCAAGAACGTCGACATCTCTGTTGCCAGCCAGTATGCCTCCAAGTACCCTGGCACTGAGAACCACGTCCACCCTGGAGTGCAGAAGTAAATCAAGGAGATTTGTCGATGGTTGCAGTGTGGTTGTTGCGAGTTAATTCATATTGGAACGCTCGAGCTTTCTTGATGGAAAGGTGTATCGATAGGGAAGATTGCTTCCATGAAACGGAAAAAAACAATGCACGAAGAAAAAGAAAAAAAAGGGATGAGGATGTTGGATTGGTTGTTTGATTAGCAAAACAAGTGTATTTCTTTCAATGAACTTGTAAAGCAAAGTATGCGAGCTGCTGCTCATTGCAATGGCCCCCCGCAATCTCTACCTCCTGCATGCATAGACTTTTACGCACTATCCTCTCTCACAGAGATTCTTTCCTGCGCTACCCTCTCATCTTTACTTTCCTCTACCCCCTCCATCAAACTTCCGGGTCGTCTATCCCTAACGCAGTGTCCAGCCTACCGTCCTCCTCCTCGAAGAGCGAGTCTTGATGAAGTACCTTGTCAAAGGTCACCATGTGCTGAGAGTCTTCATAGCTGCTCAGCTCTTCTGCTCTCAGCTTCTCCATGTGCCTCTCCTCTCTCTCCTGCTGCCTCTGCTTGTAACCCCTGCCACATTCGTCAGCTCTCCTCAGCAGCACCAGCACCAGCACCAGCACCAGCACCAGCACCAGCACCAGCACCAGCACCAGCACCATCGATTCCTCCTCCTCCTCCTCATCGCACTCCTCCTCGTCACACCACTTCGCACAGTTCTCCCCACATTTTTTCATCCTTCATGGTTGACTTACATCTTGGGAGCGACAGGCCTCGTGTCTGCTTTCTTCGCCAGCGAGTCGATAGCTTTTCGAGCTCTCGCGCTCTTAAGGATCTTGAAAGAGTCGCCGACGTTGAGCAGGTTGACGAAGGGCCTGGCAAGAGGAGGGACGTCGTGCAGTGTGAAGGAAGCTCGCCAACCTCCATGCTTGTGGACCGTGACCGTCAACTTGGAGGCGTGCGGAGCATGCGACAGGACCACGACGTGCCCCTCCTGCAGCTGCAGCTTCCGCTGCTCAGGGATGTTGAAGCTCTTGCGGGGGTTGAGCAGCTCCCTGCCTGCGAAGCCGATCCGATATACGAGGCCCTGGGAGCTGAGCATCCAAGCAGGGGATGAGAGATCGGAGCCGTCGCATACTGGAGGGAGACGTCAGTGAGGAGAGAGGAGCTTGGGAGGAAAACGAGGAGGGGAGGGAGGTGGGACGGGGAGAAGATGGAGAGGAGGAGGAGAACGAGAACGAGAACGAGCAGGAGAACGAGCAGGAGAAGGAGAAGGAGCAGAAACAGCAAGGTGCACAGGGACAAAGAAATCGGAAGCGAGAGAACGGAAGTGCCGACGAGCTAGAACGAGGCAAGACACGGCGAGAGAACAAGAGCACGGAAGAGGGAGCAGGGAGCGAGAAGGAAAGAGCGAGCAAGAAGGTGGCACAAGGAGAGGAGAGGAGAGGAGAGGAGAGGAGAGGAGAGGAGAGGAGAGGAGAGGAGAGGAGAGGAGAGGAGAGGAGAGGAGGGGAGAGGAGAGGAGAGTATGGTTAAACAGAAAACGAAGAAGAGGAGGTGGGGGAGAATGAGATGTCGGTAAAGGAGAGACAAGGGAGGAAAGGACAGTAGCAGTGACGAGAAGAGACAAACGATCTCACAGATAGGAGAGTAGGGCGGGAGGAGGAGGCCAACAAACAGAGGACCCTTGAGCACACGTATCTTGATCGCCCAACTGCATCAGAGTCAGGAGGGAGGAAGGGGGGGGGGAAACTGTTGCGACAGGAGGCAGAGCAGACTGATGAGTGAGATGAAGGAGGAGGAGATGGAGGAACGGAGCACAAAATTAATGGGAGAGCGACGACGGATAGAAGCGAAATGGACAGGAAATTAAGAGCAAATGGTCCAGAGGCAATGGGGAGGGGAGGAGCAGGAGCAGAAGGGAGCAGGAGAAGGAGAAGGAGAAGGAGTAGAAGCGAAGGGAGGAGCAGGATCAGGAGAGAAGAGGAAGAGGAGGAAGAGGAAGAGGAGAAGAACAAGCAGCAGCAGCAGCAGCAGGCAAGAAATAATTCGAGGAGGGGGAGAGGAGGAGGAAGAGGAGGAGGAGGAGGAGGAGGAGGAGCAGCAGCAGCAGCAGCAGCAGCAATGCATTTCCTTCGAATTTTTTGTTTCCAATGCGGATTCCCCCAGACTGCAAAAGATCCGCAGGGTCTTGAGATCCCACCAGCTCGAGGCTGAAAAAAGCAGAAAGCGAGAAAGCGACGGGAGCGAGGAGGAGGCGAAGAGAGGAGGGGACAAGCACGAAGAGAACCAAGAGAGAGCGAGAGGAGGGGATGGGGGAGAGAGGTGAGGACGGAGGAGGTGGTGGAGGGGGTGGAGGAGGAGGAGTGCGAGAAGGAGGAAAGGAAGAGGGGGGAGGAAAAGTAAGGAGGGGATTAGGCACAAGGAAGCATGAAGAAGGGAGCAGGAAACAGGGAATGCCGAGCATGCGAGAAGGGAGAAGGGAGGAGGAAGGAGAGAAACAATCAGCAAGGACGAGAACAGGAGCAAATTCACTCACATCGTATGAGAGGTCGACCTTGGTCACTGTTGTGTTTTTCTGCGACATCTGCATCCCCTCCCCGAGCATCTCTAGTGTCATGTAGTGCTGCGGGTCATTCTGCTGCTCCCGCTTCTCCTTCTCCTTCATCCGCTCCTGCTCCTCACATCAGCAATGCTCTGACCGGCCCTCGAAGGTTCACTGACGAGAATCTTAGTCGTCCGGCCCTTCTTCTCGATGGCGCTGGGATTTGAGAGTTCAGGCAGGATGAGACAGGGTGCAAGGTGTGTTTCACATAGTCAAACACTCACACACCGATCTACATTTACACCTCGATCTCTACCTCCGTTGTCACCGTAACCAGCATCACCAGTAGCAGCAAGCAGCAGCAAGCAGCAAGCAGCACAAGCACAAGCACAAGCACAAGCACAAGCACAAGCACAAGCACAAGCACAAGCACCAGCAGCACCAGCACCAGCACCAGCACCAGCACCAGCACCAGCACCAGCACCACCAGCACCAGCACCACCAGCACCAGCACCACCAGCACCAGCAGCACCAGCACCAGCACCAGCACCACCAGCACCACCACCAGCACCACCAGCACCAGTCTCTCACAAGTTTCTCGCCACCTTCAACCCCCAAGGAATCTGTCCAATCGCTTGTCATCGCAGGCATCATAGACGGCTAGCAGAATTCACCTTCCCTGCCAACTCATTCTCTCCCAGCTCGTCAAGACCTTTCTCCCCCATCTCCTTGGTTACGGCGATGCCGTGAGTGGAAGTTGGAGGAGGAGGAGGAGGAGGAGGGCCGGGAGGAAGGGTAGAGGACTGCGGGGTCTTCTTGCTCCTGCTGCCCGAGTGTGCACGGGAGGGAGCGGGGAGGTTCAAGTTCTTGAAATCTGACAACCCCTCGTCTTGTTGGGACCCTGTTGGAAAGGAAATGAGATTGAAGAAAGAGAATAGGATGGCAAAAGTGACGAGGACGAGGATGAGGACGAGGACGAGGACGAGGACGAGGACGAGGACGAGGACGAGGACGAGGACGAGGACGAGGACGAGGACGAGGACGAGGACGAGGATGAGGACGAGGACGAGGACGAGGACGAGGACGAAAGGATAGGGAGGCAGAAGGAAAGTGTCTCGAGAGAGAGTATAGCACCAGGGTCTGTCGATTTGTTGTCTCTCGCTCTTTTGTCTTTGCGGATGTTGAGAAGATGCTGAAGACGGTGGTTGTTCGAAGAGTTCACGTTGTTCGAGTCAAGAACAAATGTCAAAGAAGCCATGAACTACCTGTCTCCTCCAGGATCTTCTTTTCTTCTCTTTCTTGAAAGAATTCAGTTTTTTGTCTGCAAGCATTTCATTCTCAATCCACAACAGCTTCACCATACCTGAAGCAACGTACGTGTCTTGTTTGATGGGGGCTTGCTGGCCTGCACTTTCTCACTCTAAACCGTCCAAAAACAGGATATGCATCACAACAAAGCTGGAAAACTACAATAGACACACTAAGAAATTCAGACGACAACAACAGCATCAAGAGCTACAAGACCTGTAGTGACAACAGCTGTAACAACACAGCAGCAGCAGCAGCAGCAGCAGCAAGCGATAACATCATCAACATCAATTTGAACATCCTCTTCAGAGCATTGATCAAACTAACCCGCTTCACATGCTCTCCTCCACCTCTCAATTTGAACTCTTTTACGCCGCCGCAAGCAGACATCTTGTACGCCGCCGCAGGTTGAAGGCAAAGGAGAAGAGAGGAGGGGTCGATCAAATTTGAAAGAAAAATGCACAACGTGCATATGTGTATCCTGTCCATGCATTCATCACTGTTTGTCCTTCTATTGCTCAAAAGATTCGCCACAGATCAGGTCATCGTGTTGAGGATGAGGAAAGCTAGGAGCAGGAGCAGGAGCAGGAGCAGGAGCAGGAGCAGGAGCAGGAGCAGGAGCAGGAGCAGGAGCAAGATAAGGCGCAAGACAAGGAGCAAGAGAAAGAGCAAGACAGTTTCTCCTGCTTCTCTCCTTACCTCCTCCACATCCTCAGGGATCGCTCGTAGGGTTCATGTGCAGTCGCATCTCGTTTCGACGACACGCGTCACCCTCGACGTCATGCTGGGATGGGATCAGGGATGCGAACAGGTCAAGCTTGACGTCTATCTCTTCCTCTCCTTCTCTTCCTCGTCGTCGCCCACGGTCAGTCCCTCGCTCTCTTCCCCTCCCGTCTTTCACTCCGCACATGTCATGTTGCTTGGATCCTGGCGCTGAGGCGCGCTTGCAAATGATCTGCCCCCGGGGGCCCGGGGCCCCGGCCCGGGCCGTACGGTCCGGCCGGTGTCGGCGCCGGGCCCGGGCCTCCGGGAGGCTACTTGACTCCTGAGAGAAAACAGTCTCCCGACTCACCTGGCAGAGCACCGTGGCACCGTGACGACGGTCAGTACGGTCGTCGGACACAGGCGCCGCGCTGGCGTGTGACTGGCGGCGGCCCGGGCTGTGGACACCGCCGCCACGGTGTCGGTGGCCCGGGCCGCCGCGCTCAGTTTGGAAAGTCGACAGTGATCATATGCGGCCTTTTTTGTTCCGGCCCAGTGGTCGGACTTCCGGAGTCACTGGCCGCACGAACGGTCCAAGCCAGGAGCCGCATGAGATTCCTGGACTAGTGAACGGTACTAGGGAAACCGGGACCGCGGCGGCCGGGGAGTCACGGGCTTAATCTTTATTTAGTCTCTTAAATATTATTTTGGCTTCTTAATCATGATTTAGTTGTTTTAACCTTTAATTTTAAATTCGGTCCTGGCCCGGTTCCTACTGGTTCAAAACACCGGCCGGCATGAAGTATGTCGCCTCCTCCTCCTCCTCCTCCTCCTCCTCTTCCTCCTCCTCCTCCCCTTCAGTCCTCTCCAACTTCTATCCCTACGCTCTCTCCTCTTCCTGAGAACGGCCACCTCAGTCCTCCTCCTTCCCGTCCTGATCGCTCAAGAAAGACGGCTCCTAATTCGTCCCATTCCTCTCAGTCTCCCCCCCTGCGGCACAATGTTCCTCCTCCTTCGAGCAGTTCCACTCCTCGTCCCGTATCCAGTTCACCACCAGCGCATGCTCCCTCGGCTCACTCAGCTTCACGCCCCTCAACCAACGGGGGCGGCATCGGAGACCCCCACACCCCTCGGCACCGACTGTCAGTCACTCCCAGGCAGGAAGAGGCAGTGGAAGGGAAGTCAACGGTAGACGGCAAGCTCTGCAGGCGATGGGCGAGGTACCTCTGTCCTGTGTTCGCCATGAGCTGCAACCCAGGCTGGTTGGAGGAGAGCCATCACTTCAAGCTGCCTCTGCCTGAAGGCGTCGACGATAGCGTGCTCGTCACTTTGCTGCTGTGCAGGATGATACCGGCGACTGTATCGAGCGATGACATCATCGAGCGATTCTTCGACGCCATCAAACATGGCCCGCACGCGGCGAGGAGCATGATAGTCCGCAGAGACCACAGCAAGTCAAAGATGACGGAGCAGAAGATCATGAGCATCCACAGTGTTGAGCTCAAGAACGCTAACGCCAGGTGTGTCATGGAGGAAGGGCTGAAACACATGAAGACGAGGATCGTAGAAGGAAGCAAGTCTCTTCCCCCTGCTGGACTCCTCCTCAACGGCTCTCCTGTAGCAATCTTGCAGATATTCAACACCTGCAGGGCAAATGCAGTCCATGACGTGAACAAGAACTTGAGCAAGATGATGGAGTGGTACAAGTCGACCATCGAGTACACTGAGAGCATGTGCAACCTCTCAGCTCCTCTGCTCCCCGACACCCACGATGGTAGGATGCAAGCTCCGCAACACTGGGAGTTCTTCAGGTACTCAAGCACAACCCTCCGCCCCCTCCCTGACTCCTCTTCTCTTGCTCTCCTCCTCCCCCTCCTTGGTTTTCCCCATCTTTATCCTCAATCTTTCTCACTTCATTGACTTCGTCCTCCTCTCCTCCTCCTTGTTCTCCTCCTCCTTGTTCTCCTCCTCTCCTCCTCCTTGTTCTCCTCTGTTCTTGTGCACCTTTCCCACTTCCTCCTCCTCCTTGTCACAACCTCCGCTGCTCCTCGCTGCTCACCCTCACGCGTCAGGACCGGTGTTCCCTACTGCTGTTCGCTGTTTGCCGTTAGCAGGCTCTCGCGAGCGCTGCCGTTCGACATCACCAGAGTCTTCGGGGACCCGAGGAAGATCCAGGAGCTCCAGAGCAACATCGAGGTCGCGTTTGATACCCTCGACTCTCTCGGTACCCCCCGTCTGTGGGACAAGGTCAGCTTGCCCGAGGGGTCCTGGCAGCTGACGGGTGGTGCAGGCTCAGTTCCTGAGCTACCCCGACGAAGACGACTGCTTCCTGCTCGTGCAGTCGTTCGCCATCTTCTCCCAGCTGTCGAGGCTCGTGACCTACGAGCAGCTCAAGTCTTCTGATCAGGTCGACCACCAGGACGTCGCTCTTGTGCTCTGCGATCAGAAGCGAGTCAGCGTTGGGTCCAGGACGCGCGTGCGGTGGAGGCAGCCGGAGAAGAACATGGCATGGCCGATCATGACGTTGCAGGTCAACGCAGCCGACCTGTCCTGGCAGGAGGAGAGCAAGGGAGGGAGCAACCGCAAGGACAGTGACAGGCCGGGGCATCGCTCAGCTGAGCCGACCCCCTCCAGCAGGCCGTCGGGCAGAGTCCGCACCAACGACTCTAGAGCCTCGGTGCACATCAAGACAGACTCGACGGCAGGGGACAACACCGAAGGAGGAGCAAGGTATCCCAGCTGTCCTTTCCTCTCCTCTGATCCCTCCGCAGGTCCGACCGCACCCGATGTACGGGGACCGCAGCGATCGCCAAAGAGCTGGAGGCGCTGGAGCAGCGACTGCAACGGGTCAACCCGTGGGAGGATGCGGAGTACATGCGGCTGGAGGGGAACGTGAAGGCGCTGCGGGAGGAGATCGAGAAGCTGAGCTCGCGGATCCTTCGGAGCAGAAGGACCCTTACGTCGGAGGCTCTTAGGAGTGATTGTGGTCTCCTCCTCAGCAGCCCCTGCCCGAGCGACAGCGACAGCGACGGGAGCGGCGCGCCTGAGGTAAGAAGAGCCGAGCTAGAGGTCGACAGGGAGCACGCGAGCTCAGCTGCCTCCGACGTCGCCTTTGACTCGGTCTGTCTGCCCCATGAGCTGGAAGAAGGTCAGTAACGCTCCCCGGCCTGCCGACCCCTCGTGACGCGTAACGGCCGCAGAGCTGTCGGAGACCCTCGCCATGACCCTCAGTCTGTCCCAGCGAGTCAAGTCGGACGTGTCAAACGCGATGACGGGCATGGCGGACGGCGGGACCTCCACGCTGGTCCTCAGCTTCGATGGTGGGAGGTTGAGGCCTCGGGGCTTGTCTGACTGTCGTGGTGCAGACGAGGAGCAACAGGGGCTGAAGGAGAGCGTTTCCCTATCTCCCCTCATAGCAAATATCGAGCCATCCTTCCCCCTGGCTCCGAGGGACAACAAGGCCACAGGCCCAACCTCGTCCCCAGCTGAGAGCACGAGGAGGAGGGACTTGGACCCGGAGTGGAGCTGCAGGACAAGTGGGGAGGTGGAACAGGAGGGGGGGCGGGTGGTAGCCGCGAGCATCAACGCGCTCATCGGGTTCCTGACGTCCCCGGACAACATCGCCGAGGATGATGAGCTGATGGTCACGCTCGTTCTCATGCACAGGGTCACCAGCTCCCACCAGGCGTTCCTCGGCAAGCTCGTGTCCCGCTTCCGAGCCGCCGTCGGGCCCCTCCGGTTCGGGGTGGATCACCGGTACGAGAGTGAGGCCGAGCTGGAGAGCGAGCTGGTCGTCATGCGGCACAAAGTCTGCAGCATCGTCCTCGTGTGGCTCCGCGACTTCTTCCGCGACTTCTCCGACGCGGCTCTTGCCGCCTCCCTCACCTCGTTCCTCGGCATGACCAGCTCGTCCACGGACCAGCAGTCCCCTCCCAACGGCCTCCCGCGGCTCCAGCTGGGCCTCGAGCAGGAGCCGCAGCTGGACTGGAGCAGCCTGATGCTTGTCAAGGACGTGATGAGGAGAGTGCTGGAAGACAGACTGTCTCTGCTGCAGATCCACGAGGCCTACATCGCTGAGGGCCGATCGGGAGACGCCAGCAGGATTGAGCACAACTACAGGTAGCCATGCCTGCCCTCCTCCCTCCCCTCCTCCTGCTCCTCCTCCTTTCTCGCTCTTGTCCTCTCCCTCGTTCCCACCTTCTCTTTCCTCTCTGTCCTCATTGTCACGTATTCCTCCTCCCTCCCCTCCTCTCCTCCTCGATTTCCCATCCTCCTCTCTCGTCTTCCAGTCTGACCTCTTCTCAGGTCCTGGCACCTCCTGCAGCTGGACTCTGCCGACGTGGCCCGGCAGCTCACGCTCATGGAGTCTCGCCACTTCTTCACCATCAGCTACGAGGAGCTGCTGGACAGCAGCAAGGCCCTAGCTGGGCGGCGTCTCCCGTTCTCCAACGAGGACGAGGAGGTCTTCTCGCTCAACGACAAGAGGTCGCTGACTCGCTCCCTCCCCAAGGCCTCTCCCATCCGCGACTTCATCGAGTCCAACAGGGTCCTGAGCTGCTGGGTAGCCTCGACCATCATCTCAGAGCAGGAGCACGCGCGGCGGGTACAGCTGCTGGAGTTCTTCGTCATGGTGGCGGACGAGTGTCTTCAAATGAGCAACTTCAGCACGATGATGGCGATATGGCGCGGGCTCCACTGCAAGCCTGTGAGGATGCTCAAAAAGGCCAACAGCGAGGCCATGCAGAGCGCCAAGACGCTGACGCTCTTTGCGCACCTCGGGCAGGCCTGCTCGCTGCGAGCAAACGACCTGAGCTCCATCCACAAGCTGCAGGAGTCTCGACCTGAGAATCCCTGTGTCCCCTTCCTGGAGGGGTACATGCTCATGCTCGCAGAGGCGCACAGGAGTCTGGGGGAGGAGGTGACGGCAGCGGGGCTTATCAACGTGAGCAAGGCAAGGGAGCTGGCGCGAGTGGTGAAAAGTATCATCCGACATCAGCACTGGCGTTATGACTTCCAGGTATTGCGAGGAGTTGAATTGACTCGCTGTGAACTGAAACTTTGACACGAGGTGATCGAGCCGGTGGAGGCTTACCTGTCTGACCTCCTCATCTTGGACTATCACACCTTGTATGCAAGGTCAGCAGAGTGCGAGAAGTGAGGACCGAGCGCTTGAGCTCGGCAGAGCTGTGCATGTGAAGTGCGGAGGAGTGTTGTTCGTATGGGAAGTTGGGGTTTCAAGGTTTAATCAAAGATGAGAATATCATGAGCTGCTTCTTGTTGTTCCCAAACACGAATTATCAACAATTGCAAACGCTTCCTGTCTCGTTGCGTCCGAATGTACAAGAGAGCCAAGTGGTTTCAAACATCTTGTTCTCTCACTCTCGCTACATGTTTATCATCCTCCTCTCCCTTCCTTCTCCTCTTCAGTGATCTGGTATCGCTGTTGAAAATATTCCGTCCGCTGTCAATCCTCCCGGCCAACCAGTTTGATCGCCGGGTGTCCTCCAGCCTCTACGTCTTCCAGGTGCTCGTCAGAGGCTCCGGCCTTGCGATCGATCGCATCATCTACGGGAGCGACAGCTGAAGTTTCCAGGTGTCAACACAACCTTGTATCAGACTTGCCCTTACGTTTACCTGCTATACCCAGCGCCGTCGCCACTGTCCCGAGTACTCCTGCTCCTACGTACGCTACAGCTACTTCCATGCTTGTTGTCTGCCTTACTGCAGTCAGGTCCTGCATTGAGGATTATGAGATGGATGCACAGTCAAGAAGAGAAACGAGGAGAGGAGAGGAGAGGAGAGAAGAGGAGAGGAGAGGAGAGGATAGGTAAGGAGAGGTGAGGTGAGGGGAGGGGAGGGGAGGGGAGGGGACAAGGATCAAGTTGAACAATGGGCCAACGGAAAACGAAATCACAACACCAGAAGCCCTTACGGCAAAATCAAGAAAAATCAAGGTGCAGGCAAAATGAGCCAGCAATGGTCGTCAGCTAAGAACAGTTGTACACAGGGCGAAAACTGATGAAGGGCAGAGATGAGATGAGATGACACGTATGTGGAGGAGAAGAGAGGGGGGGGAGCATGAGGTGGTCTCGAATGGAACGCGAAGAGAAGATCGAAGAAGGGAAGATAGAAGGGGACAGGAAAAGAGGAAGAGGAAGGGAAGCAAGGAGGACAAGGAAGAGGAGAACGGAGAGGAGGAGGAGGAGGAGGAGGAGGAGGACAGAGCATTGAACATGCGGGGCGCGAAAAAATGATCGGGACGAATATCGCCACATTGCGCCGCAGTACGGATTCCCCAGGGGTTCAGTCTCAGGAATGTACCGGTACTTTGCATAATTGATACTGTGAGGATGGGTAGGGTGGTATTGTACATTGTTGGTACCGCAATGTCAAGGGAATTATCGGGGTGGGTGGTTCATTTGCAGGGGTAGATTCTCAAAATCGTCCGGAACACGGGTACTTCTCATATAGAATAGTGGGGTATGAATGGTTCTAAAGGGGGTTGTCTGTCACGGGGTAGGGTGGGTTGTTAAATATTTTTGAGATCTTTACGCTTTCAGGTTCACTGGCCGTTCCGAGCAACAGGACAAAGGCGGTGCTATCAACTTCTGAGCACCCCTCCATGTCTGACCCGGCGCGGTACATAACTGTCAACCGCGCACTCTGATCTCTCCTTGCAAGACCGTCGTTGCCTGAAACAGAACAAACAAACACTACAGCATCGACAGATTTGATCTTGAACCCGGTATCTTGAATTTGAGCATTGATTGCTTCTGTACTTAGACAACTCCAGATCAATTGCGCAGTAATTGCAAACAACAACTGAAACAAGGAATGAACGTGTTCGGCCCCACCTTCGTCACCATCCACGTCCGCAAGAAAGCTGGCGACTCCGCCAAGCCCCAGGCCTCCAAGATCTTCCTCACCGCCAGCGACCTCCAGCGCCTCCTCGTCTACAAGCAGGTCGACGCCGCCAAGCTCCTGGTATGACCCCTGCCTGACCTGTCTGCTAGGGGAGCGCGTGCTGTTGTGACGGGAGGAGGAGGGCGGGGCTTGATCTGACGTTGGATGGGAGCAGGGGGTGTCTCTGACGGCGCTCAAGAACGCGTGCAGGCAGCTGGGGCTGGAGAGCTGGCCCAAGGAGCGGAGCCAGCTACTGGCAGCGAGGAGGAGGGAGGCGTGGGACGTGCGGGAGTGGTTCGGGGGGCAGGAAAGGACGGAACAGGAGCACATACATGGCGGTAGGTTGTCGCAGTGCTCCGGTCGGCAGGTTGCGGAGGATGGTAGAGAGGATAAGAACGATGAAGGGTCTACAGGAGGATGCTGCTGTGATGATTTCTCGCAAGAGGATGATGAGGCAGTGAAGGTTCTGCAAGATGAGGGGACAGGACAGAGGGAGCTAGTGAAGGGAGCATGGATGAAGAGGATGGGAGAATTGACAGGAGAGGGAAGGAAGAGGGAGTGGGGGGGATGCCGGGGGGAGGGGCAGAGGGAGCTGATGGAGGAGGCCTTGCGACATGTTAGGAACTACACAACTGTATCGACATGAACTTGCTTGGCCTGCTTGTATCAGAGGGCTCAGCCTCTTGGCCCCTTGGCTTGATGTGTTTGCTGTGAAAATGAACTCCTTTTTAATAGCTAAGAGAATTGCCAGTGTGATCACATCACATGAGATCAAAATTTTTATCAGGATTTGTAAGTTAGTTTAGGTATGAAGTAAACTTGCCTGCTACTATGACAACACCCTTGAGGTCCCAACTGCAGGTTGATTGAGCAGGTTTATTGAGCATTGCCTCCAGGTGATCAGTGTAAATCTGGAGGATAGCCCAGGTGTGTAGTGAACTCAAAATCTGCATTGCCAGAAGAACAGAACTGACATCTACGGAATTGTTCTAGTCTTTCTTCACTGAACTATCCAACAACTCGAGCACTTTGGTTGTGGTGACACTGAATTTCGCAGACAGGCTCAGTCACCTTAGAAAGCAATTCCTTTGAGATCAATTTGGTGGAAGTATTCTAAAACTGGTCTCCCCGAAACGCGCATTTCTCTTCCTCCCTGTTTCTCCGTGGTGAAAAAGTGTCAAGGAAGCTGCTGGCTGTTGTACGCAAGAAATTGGCAAGAAATCTCGATCCACAACGAACGCAAGATCGATCATCCCTGGTCAAGGACTCTGGTGGTCAAGGGCTTCTAGTCATGTTCACAACGTCACCCGTGATACATGAAGCTCTATGGGTGCAAACTCCCTTCGTGCTGCATGACAGATAAGAGCGGCGCGGTTGCTAGCTGGCGTTCAGGTCTCCATGATCTTGAGACTGTTTGCTTTCTTGTTCGTCTTCGGCTGATCGTTCCAACCAATCTGACCACATGTCTCTTAGTATGGACTTAAACAGTCAAAACCCTGTCGGGCCACCGGCAGAGGTATCTTGATTTACCTTCTTGATGCTTCATATCCCACACAGACCCCATCAAAATTGATACATTTATTTTAGTCAAACAATATACAGGATCAAATTTTCGTAAGCTTCGGATCAATTTTGAAATGCAATCACCCCCCATTGTAAAAAGATGGCAATATTCATGACACGCATGGTATCACACACCGCTGGGGAGGAGATATATCGTTCTTCCATTGGTAGTTGGCGAAATTCCAGCTGGCAGGCAAAGAAAACAGACGAAAAGGTCACAAAGCATCAACGCTGCGAGTCTGGAGCTATAGCTAAGGAATCAGGGAACAGTAAAAACTCGCCAACTTTCACTAAACTCAAATCTGATGGGAAAGGGTGCGATCTTCAGGTTAGACCGGAGCACGGAACGATGCAATAAAAAGGCTAGATAGGGCTATAATGTTTTAGATAACCTCCTTATATTGTTATTGTGTTGTAAAAATGGTGATGACTTGTAAAAGGGTTATTACATGTGCGCTTTCACCCTGCCACAAGGTACCCGGCACGTCGCACACCGATCTCCGTTCCCCTACTGAAACTTTCCCCACTCCTCCTACACCCTGCTTCTTCTTCTGCTCCTTCCCGTTTGCTCCTTTCTGCTTCTGCGCATATCCTCAGCCCTTCAGCATTCTCCTCTTGCTCGGGTGTAAGAGACCTCTACCTGAACTTGCCTCAAGCAGCACGAGGATCGTTCCTTGTGCCGTGTGTGGAATCTCACGTGAACTCCTGTCCCCCGGTGAGTGCGCAACATCCTGAGACGTGGTGTTTTTTTCATCTTATATTCGGAACAGTGAAAGGAGTTTCAAGCTCACTTTCACGCACATCTGAGAGCCAAAACATCTGAGACAATCCCGCGCTCACAACTGAACATGAGCTCAACTCGAGTCACCATCAATCTGCGCAAGAGGAGGAACGAGACGACGAGGCCTCCCGTCACCAAGATCACCATTCGTATCGAAGACCTGCATGATCTCCTCTCGATGAAGCAAGTAGATGCTGCAAGACACCTGGTAAGCAATGTCGTTGGCGAGATTAGATGCGTTGCGGACTGACCTTGCTCGCAGGGTGTCTCCCTTACTGCACTCAAGAATGCAAGCAAGCAGCTCGGAGTTGACAGCTGGCCGAGAGAGAGAAGCTCGGTCCTTGCAAGCAAAGCTATGGATGCGTCAGGCGTGCTTCAATGGTTTGACGGAAGGGATCCTGTGTCCCGGAAAAGCTCCCAACTGAGTTCCGAGGGTTCCAAGCTCGAGGAGAAGGAGGCGGCAAATCAACGAGCGACTGTAGAAAAGGGGCATAACGGAGAAAGCAACGAGCAGAAGGTCCCTGCAAGTGTATGCCTCGAAAGCGAGGGGAAGTCTTTGGACCAAGCAGAGTTCTTCTTGTGGGATTGTCGCAGTGAGGAGCTGCAGGAGCTGATGGAGGAAGGGATGGTCCACGTTCTTAGCCATCAGTGACGAGCAGTTTGTTGAAGAACATGTAAGGGACGATCAACGACCAGATCTATTGCCGGCATGCATGAACGTACGTTTTAATCCTAGGTCTCAGTGAGAAGTTTGAGAAGGTAGCAATGCCACCGCACTCTCCGAACTTTCGAATAATCATGATGGGTTTGTTTTTGAGTTTGAGCACTGTCATTAAATTGCTTTCAAGTTACTTTTCATCTTCGCCGCCTGGTTGGCCCTAACAGTACCGTGTCCGACTCGATCACCGGGCAGTGACCAACGGCGGCTTCAAGCACTGCAAGCCGCTCAGCCTCAGTGAAGCCTGCGTGGCACGGTTCCGGGCGGAGTCCGAGACTGGCGGCCTTACGACCGCGGGCCGCGCCGACCGGGCCCCCGGCGGGCCTGGTGGCAGGCCGAGACCGACGTGACCGCGGCGGCGTCCGCCGAGATCGGAGCCATCAGCTTGCTAGTTACGGTACGGTACCCGGTAATGCCGGGCACTCAGCCGAGTACCGTGCCGCGCGTCACGAGCCTAGTAGTACTCGCCGGTAGCGGCCCCGCCCGGCCGCCCGGCCGCCCGCGCCTGCGCAGCGAAGCCCGGGATCAACATCTGGCGTACAGGGGCGGGCCTTTCAGTGAAATGATGAGTGACCTCGATGAGTGACGAAAGATCCTGGACCGGACTCGGATGCGTTTGCAAATCGGATGATCGGCCGAGCCGAGTCTGAGACAAGTCTTGTAAGGCCGGGCGCCGGGCCCGGGGGCGCCGGTGGTGACCGCCGGTGCGTGCGGCTCAGGCTGGCCCGGAGGCCCAGGGCCTGAGAGGAGGCCGGCGGGGTAGCGGGCACCTGAGTGACACGATGGCAAAGGGTCATTCGAGGGGGTGGGTAGCTCTGAGTTGTGGGTGGGCAACCATTGAGGTAGGTGGAGGTGGTATACCACCCCTGAAATTCATATAAATGATCATGGTATTTCAGCGGGTTCAACATCACTATTTGCATTCAAAATCGGGGTAGGGTAGCAATGAGGGGGTGGTGGGGTTAGTGTGGCTGCAAAAACCTGTCGAGTATTCCTCGGCCTCCACAAACCCATGACCCTACCCCTTGCATGTGATTTATGCCCCTACCCTCATTATTTCAAATCTCTGTATCGTACCCCTTATTTTCAGGCATTAATTTTATCCAAAGTACGGGTCCATGAGTACCCACCGTATGTTTTGATTGAAATTTTCATAACCCCCACCTCCGTCAAGGCTTTAGGCGTCCGCAATGCTCAAGTCCACCGTCGTCCTCCTCCTTCCTGCTGCCGCCGCTTTTGCGCCAAATGGTAGAAGACTGCCATCCTGTCATGCTGTCAGCTCCTACTCTATGCCTGTCCGATCCTGTTCCTCCTTCCTCTTGCCTCTCCTGTGACTTGCAGTCCAATGCCTCGGATTGCTGCGCATGGTTACGTCATCTTCTATGCTCCTCCTGCTATCTGGCTTCCTCCTCCTCTGAAAGTTTTCTTTTGAGATCTTCGTCTTCGTATTTGTGATGGATTGACATGTCACTCATTGTTCTTCGCACAATCGTATTGTCTCTCACTGTTGGCCCTCCCAACTATCTCCACTTGTCTTGCTCACATTTCAATCCTTTCCACCATCTTCATCCTAGACTCTTCTACCAGCATCATGACCATTCTCCCAGGATTGCTCCTCAACTCCAACAATGGCCGTCTTGCTCAGAAGAACGCCGCGATCTCCGTACTTCCACAATGCTCAGACGCTGACTTGCTGACTGAATCATTCCCAGCTTCGTGCAGCGGAGGCCACTGCGTTCGTTACCACCCAGTCCAAGAAGATCATGGACGAAGCTAAGGTGAGGATATTTCGGAGATGAGAGATCAACACTGCAAGACGACCACTGCAATATGATATCTGAAAGATGAGAATGTTCAGATATGTTATTGTTGAAAGATGCTGTACGATGTGACGGAAGATGTTTGCTAGAAGCTTTGATTGCATTTTGTTGCCGTTGTTTGCTGCCTTTTTTGCTTCAAGCATGTGTAGAATATTTTCGTCGTGGATGCTGTGGTTGCCGAGGCAACTTTGTCCGTCACATAATAATCTTTACGCTCAGACTCTGATGCCTGGAGGAGTTTCCAGTCCTGTTCGCGCGTTCAAGTCTGTTGGAGGTGAAGAAAACATCTCATTCAAGTCTCAACATGTCATTGACAAGCACTTCAGGCGATCCGGTTGTGTTTGACAAGGTCAAGGGCGCGTATGCCTGGGATGTAAGAAGCTTGTGTTTACATGATGACGAAGATGATGAGGAGGGGGGGAGGGGTGGTGATTGATGAGATGATGATGATTGAGACTATGATCATGACGATGAAAATCAAATGACGATGCTGATAATTTTGACGATGACGATGACGATGATGATGATGGTGGTGCGAACGCTGGTGGCGATAACGATGATGATAATGATACATCTGATCGTCAAGGTGACATCACCTTTCAGGTCGATGGCAACAAGTACATCGACTACGTTGGAACTTGGGGCCCCGCCATCTGCGGACACTGCGTGGACGAAGTGAACGATGCTCTCAGAGCTACCCTTGAGAAGGGAACGTCCTTCGGAGCTCCTTCCCTCAACGGTGAGATGAGAATTGAGAGGTGGTGGTGGTGGTGGGATGAAGAAGAGGATGGGGAAGAGATGAGGAGAGAGGGAAAAGAGATAGGAGAGGAGGATGAGGTGGGAGAGGGAGAGGAGAAGAAAGGAGGGATGATAGATTAGCATGAACGGAGAACAAAGATGGCAGCAGGAAGATAAAGAGGAAGGGTTGGCGAGGGGAGTGGAACAGAGGCTTGCATGGGAATGCTCCGGTAGGAATACAATCCAAACATGTTGTAGATGCATGCTCCGGTAGGAATACAATCCAAACATGTTGTAGATGCAGGGAATGAAAACATGGAAGTTGAGATGTGAGGATGGAGGAAGAAGAGAACATGAGTGAGTTTGATCATGTTGCTCATCATTGTCCGCAGAGAATGTTCTCGCCAAGATGGTGATTGATGCCGTCCCCTCCGTCGAGATGGTAAGATCATAAGACTGATAGATGTTTTGAAACTACAACATATTTGCAGTGATGATGATGGTGATGATGATGATAGTTGTAAGCTATAACGATGTGGTTGATGCTTGAAAATCTTTGCCATGAGGATATGGTTGAGCTTGCAAGAATAATGCTGACTGTTCTCGTGTCAGGTTCGCTTCACCAACTCTGGAACAGAGGCTTGCATGGGAATGCTCCGGTAGGAATACAATCCAAACATGTTGTAGATGCATCAGAGAAGTTGCAAGTTGAAGAAAGCATGGGATGAAGAAATGGATGAGAGAGCGAGGGTGGAGTATGAATAGGAAGAAGGGATCATTGGCGCTGTAGAAGTCACTTAGAAGCGTGCTAATCAGAGCAATGAGCAGCAGCACTCTGACTTGTCTGTTTCTTGTCAGTCTTGTTCGCGCACACACTGGACGCGAGAAGATCATCAAGTTTGAGGGATGCTACCACGGGCATGCTGACGGTGAGATGATGATTATTGGAGACGTTGATAATGATGATGATGACATTGTGGTGTACAAAATGACGCAATCACTTGTAATGACCATCAGATTTTCTATTGATGAGAAACTGTATGTAGTATTCCTCATGAACAAGTGCAAATTGTTGCCGAACACAATGACTTATGTAAATCTATTCGATGATATTGACATGACTTGTCTGACAATCACTTCTCTTTTCCTCACATGTTTGTTCTCTGCATGTTTGCTGATATACACTATCAGGTTTCCTTGTCTCTGCTGGATCTGGTGTAATCACTCTCGGACTTCCTGACTCTCCTGGAGTCCCCAAGGTGAGAGAGGAAGACATGGAGGAGGAAGAGGTAGAGAGGTTGGATGGAGGAACAAAGAGTAACAGAGCATTACAATGCATTCTATTACGAAGGCAAGAGAGGAAGTAGAGACAGCACCCTCCTCCTCCTCCTCCTCCT